GACTGTTAGAATTTATTTATTTATTTATTTATATATTTATTGACTATTACAGAAGCTTATTTAACAAAGAGCATAATATGAAAATGTATATGAGCTAAGTTTTACATCATAGTAAAACAGGCCCTTTGGAGAGGGGGACATGGGTTTTTCTGCTGAACAGCCATCATTTATGCTCGTTCCAAGGCTTCTAACATGATGATACTATTACTCGCATTACCACCATTCCAATATTATTCTGTTGCCCACTAGTTGCCATCTCTACACATTAATCTATCACAAAATTCATAAAAGCATTGGACATGTCTGCCACCATTTAATTTTCAATGATAACTTCTTGCCCGTAAATTTTTTCAACTCAGGAAGGTGAGCTTTGCTCATGGCATCTACTCCACAGGTTCACAGACGCCTTGGAATGGAATGCTGGAAGAATTTATGTTAATGTATCGTCTATTTTTGACTGCTTTTGTTTTGCTATTTTTAATTTACTCATTTAATATTTTTACAGTATGTCTAATTGTTTAATTACTTTTTTTACTATGTAATACATAAATAAAAACCACGAAGAAAATAAAAGTTGTCTTTAATTCCATTGCTAATTTTAAAAATTCGATCTAGTCTTCCTTCTGTGCATATAAAGAGGATGCTCATTTAAGCCAAATTTTATATATATTTACTTTTTTGGAAAAGACAAACTGCCTCTCAGAAATTGTGGGCTGGGTGCAGTGGCTCATGCCTGTAATCCAAGCACTTTGAAAGGCCACGGTGGGTGGAACACCTGAGGTCAGGAGTTTGAGACCAGCCTGACCAACATGGTGAAACCCCATCTCTACTAAAAACACGAAATTTGGCTGAGCATGGTGGCAGGTGCCTGTAATCCCGGTTACTCAGGAGGCTGAAGTAGGAGAATTTCTTGAACCCTGTAGGCAGAGGTTGCAGGGAGCTGAGACTGGGCCATTGCACTCCAGCCTAGGTGAAAGAGCAAGACTCCATTTCAAACAAAAAAAAAAAAAAAAAGAAAGAAAAAATTTTGAGTGTTCTTTATCTAGGTGTAGACAGTCTGCCAGTTTGGGACAGATGGTTCTTGTTTTGGAGGAGAGTTATATCAGTGGTCCCACTTGGTAGATTTATTTAAAACAAGGCACAACAATTTCTCTGGAAGAAGGTTTAACAGGATTTTTTATTGTTATTTTCCCCAAGCTACCTTCTCAATACTTCTTAGTATGCAGAGATCCTAGGTTACTGGGTTGGGCATATTTGAATAGGGGCAGTGGACATTGCAGTTGAGACTCTGACCACTTCTATTTTGAGTTCAGCTGGAATGAAACCTCTCTGAAGAATTGAGATAGCTCCAAAAGAGGTCCAAAGTCAGAAAGGATTTCAAGGATCTTCAAAGGAGGCATACTGGTCCTGTGATGGGTACAATAGTTTAGATCATTCAGTTTTATTTTTTAAAGTAATTTATTAAGGTAAAATTTATTTCCGCCACTCCAAAGTAAAACTCCTTACCTTGTCAACAGTTTCTCCCCATTGTTTACTCTCCCTAGCCTCTGACAATCACCAGTCGGCATTCTGTCTCTACATTTATCTTTTCTGGAAGTTTCATATAAATTGAATCATATAATATTTGACCTTTTAAATCTGACTTTCACTTGGCATAATGTTTTGGAGGATCATTCAAATTGTAGCATATAGCAGTACTTCATTTCTTTCTTTTTGAGATAGAGTCTTGCCCTGATGCTCAGGCTGGAGTGCAGTGGTGTGATCTTGGCTCACTGCAACCTTTGCCTCCTGGCTTTAAGCAATTTTGCCTCAGCCTCCTGGTAGTTGGGATTACAGGAATGTGCCACCATGCTCAGCTAATTTTTTTTTTTCTAGTAGAGACGGGGTTTTGCCATGTTGGCCAGGGTGGTCTCAAACTCCTGACCTCAAGTGATTCGCCTGCCTCAGCCTCCCAAAGTGCTGGTATTACAGGCATGAGCCACTGCACTTGGCCACTTCATTACTTTTTATGGCTGAATAATATTTGTATATATATGCCACAGTTTGTTCATTCATCTGTTGATAAGTATTTGGGCTGTTTGTACCTTTCTGCTATTCTGAATAACGCTACTGTGAACATGTGTGAACATGTACTCAATTGAGTCCTTATGTTCATTTCTTTTGGCTGTATACCTAGGAGTGGAATTGTGAGGTCATATGGTAATTCTATGTTTAACTTTTTGAGGAACTGCCAAACTGTTTTTCTCAGCATATGAACTGTTTGCTTTCCTACCAGCAATGTGAATACAGTGCAGTTTCTCCAGTTTCTTATGAGAAGTCTGCTCTCATTCAAATCATTATTATTATTATTCTCCATAGGTAATACATCATTGTTCCCTGACTCCTTTTAAGATTTTTTAATGTCTTAATTTTCAGCAGTTTAATTATAATGTGTATGGGCATGGATTTTCTTTATGATTTGGGGCTTCACTAACATTCTTGAAACTTTTGTGTTTATATCTCTTGCTAAATTGAAAATTTGCAGCCACTAAGTCTTTAATTTTTTTTCCGTTTTTTTACCTTTTTTTTTTTTTTTTTTTTTTAGCATTAGCACCCTTTCTCCTCTCCTTTTATGAGTCTGATAGTATGAAAGTTTTCTTTCTTTCTTTTTTTGTTTTTTTGAGACAGGGTCTCACTTTGTCGCTCAGGCTGGAGTGCTGTGTTGCAAGCTCCTCCTCCTGGGTTCAAACAATTCTCCTGCCTCTCCAGTAGCTGAGATTACAGGTGCCTACCACCATGCCCAGCTAATTTTTGTATTTTTAGTAGAGATGGGGTTTGACCGTGTTGGCCAGGCTGGTCCTGAACTTCTGACCTCAGGTGATCTGCCTATCTTGGCCTCCCAACATGTTGGGATTATAGGCAAGAGCCAGCATGCCTGGCCTGTCTCACAGTTTTCTGAAGCACTGTTAATTTTTTAAAAACCTTTTTTCTCAGGCCGGGCACGGTGGCTCAAGCCTGTAATCCCAGCACTTTGGGAGGCCGAGGCGGGTGGATCACGAGGTCAAGAGATCGAGACCATCCTCGTCAACATGGTGAAACCCCGTCTCTACTAAAAATACAAAACATTAGCTGGGCATGGTGGCGCATGCCTGTAATCCCAGCTACTCAGGAGGCTGAGGCAGGAGAATTGCCTGAACACAGGAGGCGGAGGTTGCGGTGAGCCGAGATCGCGCCATTGCACTCCAGCCTGGGTAACCAGAGCGAAACTCCGTCTCAAAAAAAAAAAAAAAAAAACCTTTTTTCTCTCAGTTGTTCAGATTGGATAATGTCTACTGAGAATCTTCAGGTTCACTGATTCTTTTTCTGTTGTGTGCATTCTGCTTTTGAGCCACTCCATGAGTTTTATTCATTTATTATTGTGTTTTCTGTTTTAAAGTTTCCATTTGTATTTATTTCTTATTGTGTTTTTCTGTTCTAAAATTCCATTTGGTTTTGCTTTATGTCTTGTTTCTTTGCTAAAATTTTCTATTTTTCAATGCTTCCAAGAATACTTTTGATTGTTCACTGAAGCCTTTTTAAAATAGCTGCTTTAAAAGTTTTATCAGATAATTTCAAAGTCTGTGTTATTTCAGCATCAGTATCTTTTGATTTTATTTTCATAGTAGAGTTGTTATTTATTTATTTATTTATTTATTTATTTTGAGATGGAGTTTCGCTCTTGTTACCCAGGCTGGAGTGCAATGGCGCAATCTCGGCTCACCGCAACCTCCGCCTCCTGGGTTCAGGCAATTCTCCTGAGTAGCTGGGATTACAGGCACGCGCCACCATGCCCAGCTAATTTTTTGTAGTTTTAGTAGAGACGGGGTTTCACCATGTTGACCAGGATGGTCTTGATCTCTTGACCTCGTGATCCACCCGCCTAGGCCTCCCAAAGTGCTGGGATTACAGGCGTGAGCCACCGCGCCGGGCAGAGTTGTTATTTTTTTACATGTTTCATTTGCCAAGTAATTTTGGATTGTATGAGACTTCGAGTTTTGTTTTAATACTTACGGAAAATACTGATAATTTCTTTTAGCAGGATGTCAACCAAATTAGGTTCAGGTCATACGTTTCTACCCCATTCTTTGAATTGTAGTTGTCATTTTATTTTTCAAAAGCTTATGCAGTACCTTTTTGGTTTGTCTTGTGTGTGCTTCACAGTGAATTGTCTGGATTTGGACAGTGGTCTGTCTGTTAGTTCAGTTTCTCAAGTCTTTGTCACACTAATAGGATTGGATTTATGTATGTCCACATTAAGAGTTATTCCAGGAATTACAAACAACTTTTTAGGGTGCTTTCCTGAGCTCTCTTTTCTATTTGTTCCCACTTCTACTTTTTGTTTCCCTGTGGCTTCTCTTTCCATTCTCTAGCCAGAGAACTAATGTTTATTTTCTCCATTGGGTTACATACTTGTGCAACTGCAGCCACCATATCCAGGGCCTAATGGTAGGAGCTACAGAAGAAAAGGAAAAGGGATTAGTCTCACCCTCTTACTACCATAGCTCCATTAAATGGAGAGAAAGGTTTTCCTACCTCAAGAGTTTTGGCTGCAGTAGGCTTTCATTACTGTACTCTGGTCCTGTTACCATGGGATTGCTAGCATGTGGGGATAAAGGAGGATTCAGAAAAGAAAAAAAAAGATTTGCTATTTCTGCATTCTCCTTGAGCATTAAGGAGCTAAGGTTTCTTCTGGAGCTGCCTCTGTGGGCAGTTTGGGAGATACCAAAGGAGAAGAAGTACCACTGCTGATATGGTGATATTTTAAATTCTGGTCTCCCCTATTTCACATGCTGCTGTTTACTTTTCAGAGTCCATAAATTTCTGCCCCATGCATTCTGTCAGGTTTCTTAGGAGAGACAGCTTGGAGGATGCTTAATTCATCTTACCTGGGACTGAAACATTTGCTTGTTTTTGTCATTAAAAATTACATGCAGTTTACTGTGTGACTCCAGTTTTATTTGTTTGTTTTTCCTCCTTAATAGGTTTATTCAGAAAACATGTCCACTGCAATTAGGGAGGTGGGAGTTTGGAGACAGACCAGAACACTCCTACTGAAGAATTACTTAATTAAATGCCGAACCAAAAAGAGTAGTGTTCAGGTAAGTTACATAACTCTTTCCTATGTTTTGTTGCAGTTCATTTTGCTTGATATGTTCTATCTTGAAGTAGTGATTTATTTTGCTAATTATTTTTTTATAACTTTATTTCCTTTTCTTGTAAAGTAGAAGCTTGCCATGTTAGCCACAGAAAAATAACTGAATTACCTAATGCTTTCTAAATGCTAAAAATTCTAATAATGATTTCTACATTTAGTTAATTTTAATATCAGTGCTTAATTCTGAACTTTTAGGGGATGTGTTTCCTAAGTTTCATGAACTAACAATCCAAAATAATTTTGATTCTAGAGTTTTATTCCCCACAACCTTGTATTTTATGGAGTCTATATTGAGTTGTCCATGAGTATTAATATTATGACGCTGATTTGTACCCACAACATACATACATTACTTTTAATAAAGGTAAAAGAAGGGAAGAACTTTGGCTAACCAGCCAGTAATAATTTCAAAGGATGAAAATATATTTTTCATCTTCTGAAACCAGTAAAACAATTAAACAGCAAGATGATATAATAGCTGATTTCCACTAAAACTGACCATAGAATTTAATTTGGGTATGGTTTTGATAGTATACATTTAGTTATAATTAAATTATAATTTCTAATTCAGAATCGAATAAAGACATTTTTATGGTGAATCCATATAGGGAGATTTGGTAAATTGCTTTAGATAAAATTGTATGAGCGAATTTATTATATTTTATGTCAATAATCTAAGACATTTAAATATTATCTTTTATGTCATCTTAATTATGTAACTTGAATTTTAAAATATTTCAGTAAAACTAAATTCAAAGGAAAAAATCATTTAATATGCCTGTTGGGTTTGATGAGGTGTTCAACACAATAATTCCTTTGGGATAGAATTGCTTTTGCTTTTTATTCATAAGAAAGGACAACCAAATTTCTTGTTTTTTCTTAGTATTATATTTGCAAAGAAATCTTGATGATTTTTGCAGCTATCATTATACTTTGTAATTACTTTGTTTCTTTTATTGTAGGAAATTCTTTTTCCACTATTTTTTTTATTTTGGTTAATTTTAATTAGCATGATGCATCCAAATAAGAAATATGAAGAAGTGCCTGATATAGAACTTAATCCTATGGACAAATTTATTCTTTCTAATCTAATTCTTGGGTATACTCCAGTGACTAACATTACAAGCAGCATCATGCAGAAAGTGTCTACTGATCACCTTCCTGATGGTATTGTGAGCTTATATATATTCTATTTCTAATACTAAGCCTGTTCAATATTTATCAGCTTGCTCTACTGAATAAATAGTAGTCTTAACACTTAGAGATGTGTTCCTCCGCCAAAGTATAGTTTTATAAAAATGCTAATATTGTTTAATTCTGTCGCCTTTTCTTGTGAAACATTAATTTATATTCTTGGTGATAGGAAACATATTTTATGTACTTTTATATGTAATTCTTATATGTTTATAAAATAGTTTAAGTATACTTGTATAAGATACAAGATTTGATGAGTTATTTCATTTTGATCCTGACTCTCATATAATTATGAAGCTGGAAATGTTTAGCTGAATGTGGTAGCACGTACCTGTAGTTCCAGCTACTCAGAAGGTTGAGGAGGGGGATCCCTTGAGCCCAGGAGTTTGGGTCTGCAATGAACTATGATTGTGCCACTTCATTCCAGCACTCGTTACTCTGGGCAACAGAATTAAATAATTTTAGCATTTTTATAAATAAAAAATTAAAATAAATTTTAAAAGAAGATAGAAATATGTGATAAAGACTGTAGTCACCTTTTCAGCTTATTATGCTTGTTTATGGAAGTATATGGTGTAAACTGAAGAAGTACCTAACTTTGGAGACTACAACTATGACTATGGTTAAGTCTCTAACTCTGTTTATATATATATATATATGCGTTAAGTCTCTAACTTTGTTTTATATATATGTGTATATTTGTAGAGATGGGATCTTGCTTTGTTGCCCAGGTTGGTCTCATCTCCTGGGCTCAAGCGATCTTCCTCCCTTGGCCTCTCAAAGTGTGACCTAAGTCTTTTTTCTCAATGTGTACTTCTCACAAAGAAGTGAACTAGAAGACAGTGTAAGCAGTGAGGTGCCAGTGAACTGAAAGTGGCTGTGAGAGAACCTAAATCAAAACCTGGAGAAAGTGACAGAAATTCTTATACTATTAATGATTAAACAATGAAGTGCTGAATTATAGAAAATAACAGATTAGCATGTTATTTTTTGCCATATGGGATAGTTGTAATTAACTTATATTTCATCACATTATTGGATTATACATCATTGAATGGGAAGTGTTAATTATACAGTCAGAACCCAAGTAACTTTTATTCCATTGGTTTCTTTCTCTGCTTATTTCTATTTAATATTTTGATTAAACACACTTCTTATTGTTATATGTTAATGTATCATATTAGGCACAAGTAGCATAGGTTACCGTGAAAATTTAGTGTACAAGCTTAAAAAGCTGATTAAAAATGTTGAAATTAAATTCATTGGTAATTCTGAGTAGGAGGAAAGAGTATAAACCAAAGAAATGTGTGGCCAGACGTGGTGACACACACCTGTAATCCCAGCACTTTGGGAGGCGGACGTGGGTGGATCACCTGAGATCAGGAGTGCGAGACCAAACTGGCCAGCATGGTAAAACTCCCCGTCTCTACTAAAAATACAAAAAAAAAAGTCAAGGATGGTGGCAGATGCCTGTAATCCCAGCTACTTGGGAGGTTGAGGCAGGAGAATTGCTTGAACCCAGGACGCGGTGGTTGCAGTGAGCTGAGATTGTGCCACTGCATTCAAGCCTAGGAGACAGAGTGGGACTCTGTCTCAAGAAAAAAGAAAAAAAAAAAAGAAATGTAAGTCAGTGTGTATTAACTTAGATGCCAAAATAGTGGGAATATACACATACACATGTTTTAGACTTCTGTATTTTTAACAACAGAACTATGTGAAAATGGGTTATGCATACATACGTAACATGACTGGTCGGATGTTGAACTAACATGCTGTTTATTCATGTAAATCCTGCAGTTCCCTGTCCCTCTTAAAGGGCCTGGAAAATCTTACTAATTAACATTTAAGTAATATTTTATAATCTACAAAGTATTTTCTTCTTCTTTTTTTTTGAGATGCGATCTTACTGTCAAGCTGGTGTGCAGTGCTGTGATCTCAGCTCACTGCAGCCTCTGCCTCCTGGGCTCAAGTGATACTCCTGCTTCAGCCTCCTGAGTAGCAGGGGCACACTACCATGCCTGGCTAATTTTTGTATTTTTGTAGAGACAGGGTTTCGCCATGCTATCCAGGCTGGTCTTGAACTCCTGGAGTCAAGCAATCTACCTGCCTCTACTTTCCAAAGTGCTGGCATTATAGGCATGAGCCACCACACCCAGGCTACAAAGCACTTTGATGTTTGTTACTTCACTTGTTCTTCACAACAACCCAGTGTCATCAGCTAGGCATTGTAGATGAGGACACTAAAGTTTTAGGAGTTTCAATCACCTGCCTGTGCTCACGCAGTTCATAAATGATGAAGTAAAGTACTAATTCTATGTTCTTTCCATTTCATCACGTTTGAAGCTTCTGTAGTGAAGATTAGTTGCTTGTAAACAAAACTACAAGCAAGTATTTAAGAATTAGTCTTATCTGATGAGAAAGAGTGATTACAGTATTTTTTCCACATGTATCCTAAGAAAGGAATGAGCAATATTGGATTTGAATGACAATTTTTATTTAAGGAGGAGTTGTGTCATAGTTAATAAAATGCCTACTTGGTTTCTGAGGATTATGGAATTTTCTTTATAAGAAATATTTGAAAATAAAAAATGCATTTATTTACTAAAAAGTTACTTTTGTGCAGGCGCAGTGGCTCATACCTGTAACCAGCTAGGCAGGAGGCTGAGGTGTGGGTAACAGTTGCAGCCAGGAGTTCAAGACCAGCTTGGGAAACATAGTGACACCTCATCTCTACAAAAATTGAAAACAAAAAATCAGCCAGTCATGTTGATGAGTGCCTGCAGACCCAGCTCTACTCCAGAGGCTGAGGTGAGAGGGTCTCTTGACACCTGAAGTTCGAGTGCAAGATCCCATATACTGCAGCCTGGGCATCAGAACAAGACTCTGTCTCTAAAAAAATATAAGATGAAACAGTTATTTTTTTTAGTTTTACTTCGAGATAGGTAAATGAACTGCATTACTAACAATTTTTGTAATTTTATTGCTGCCTGAAGTCAGTTTAGTATAATTCATTGAAGTTTTAGGAAGCAGCAGTTTCTTGATGAAATACGAGTTCTGCATATTTTTTGTACTGTATTTCATCATGTTTATAACATAAGTATAATACTGACACATTTCTGTAATCAAATGACAGCTGAGTAGGGTCTGCAATATTGTACCATTTTATTGTTTATTATTATTTTGTTGGAAGAATTGTCTTTTTTTTTTTTTGTTTTTTGAGACATGGTCTCACTCTGTTGCCTAAGCTGGAGTGCAGTTGCTCAATTATGGCTCACTGCAACCTCGACCTTTCAGGCTCAAGTGATCCTCCCACCTCTGCCTCCCAAGTAGCTGAGACTACAGGCACACATCACCACATCTGGCTAATTTTTATTTTTTGTAGAGATGAAACCTCATGATGTTGCCCAGGTTGGACTTGAACTTCTGACTCAAGCAGTCCTCCCAAAGTGTTGGGATTATAGGTGTGAGCCACTATGCCTGGCCTGTCTTCATTTTTAAAGAAGCAAATATAGCAAAAGTGCTTATAAAATATTCCATTTATTAAAAATAATTGTAAACTTGATCTATATTATAGTATTTTAATTTGTGAGCTAACTATATTGTTATGCTATCTTACAGCCATAATTACAGAAGAGTATTCAAATGAAAAAGAAATGTTAACATCCAGTCTTTCTAAGCCCAGCAACTTTGTAGGTGTGGTTTTCAAAGACTCCATGTCCTATGAACTTCGTTTTTTTCCCGATATGATTCCCGTATCTTCTATTTATATGGATTCAAGAGGTAAACAGCTCTACATAATCATCGAAGATCAATTAAATGCATATCTTTGCTGCTTGTAGTTCATAGTCAAAATTTGATATAGTTCAATATTGGCATTTTCAACTATTCTTACTTGTTCCAATAGGAAAACTAAGAAGTATAGCATAAAAATATTTATTTATAAATACCTATCTACTTCTACACATAAAATATTTTTATATAATATCCATTTTGATTTAATACATGTATATATGTTAAATACAGTAGCATAAAGCAAAATTGCATTTTGGGTTATGTGACTTTCTGTCTCTTTTTTTTCATGTAATTGCTTTTACTTATGGCATGGTACACATCTTTAAAATCTTAAGTTCTTTTACTAGTGAACTTTATTAGTTTTATATTTGAAACATGGAAAACAACCTTTGGTTGTTTAAACCTATGAAGAAATATTATCAACCACAAACATTTATTAAGCAATATTAAAATCACTATGCTAAATACTGAATTTGTGACTTTATTTCAAAAAGTTGCATCGTAAACTTGATCTATATTATGGTATTTTAATTTGTGAGCTAACTATATTGTTATGATATCTTTCTAGTCATAATTACTGAAGAATATACAAATGAAAAAGAAATGTTAATATCCAATGTTTCTAAGCTCAGAAACTTTGTAGGTGTAGTTTTCAAAGACTACATGTCCTATGAACTTTCTTTTCCTTGCTTCTGGAAGTGCTTTGGAGCTAAATCATGTAGAATGACCTACTTTAAAACAAAAAAGTAAGGCCGGGCGCGGTGGCTCAAGCCTGTAATCCCAGCACTTTGGGAGGCCGAGGCGGGTGGATCACAAGGTCAAGAGATCGAGACCATCCTGGTCAACATGGTGAAACCCCGTCTCTACTAAAAATACAAAAACGTTAGCTGGGCATGGTGGCGCGTGCCTGTAATCCCAGCTACTCAGGAGGCTGAGGCAGGAGAATTGCCTGAACCCAGGAGGCGGTGGTTGCGGTGAGCCGAGATCGCGCCATTGCACTCCAGCCTGGGTAACAAGAGCGAAACTTCGTCTCAAAAAAAAAAAACAAAAAAAAAACAAAAAAGTAACTTATTTTAAATAACTACAGTTAATTTCTTTCTTTACATTTTTATTCATTTACTTTTCAGTATTCTAACACATGTAACTTTTATTTCAAAATTTCAAGTGAATGATCAGAAATCTTATAGATATTGTCTACCTTTGCAAGTCAGTAGCTTATTTCTTTGGTCCTATAGAGATTGATTGATTTTATTACTTTGGTAACCCTCCATGTAATATCTTTAAAACAATGCACTTGTGTGTTCTACAGAATCTTAGATCTCATATTTTTCTCCCCATAGGTGGCTGTTCAAAATCATGTGAGGCTACTCAGTACTGGTCCTCAGGTTTCACAGTTTTACAAGCATCCATAGATGCTGCCATTATACAGGTAAATATGATAAAGGAAGAAATACAAAAATGAAGCCATTTTAAAATAAATATTTCCTAATTCTTTACAATAGTATTTGGTTTGGCTACTAAAATATACTAAATATGTAACTTACCACAACTCCTTTAAGAAAAAAGATTAAAAAGTCATATTGTCTCATCTAGTACTTTTTGTTGTGTTTCATATTTTAGCAGAAAAACTAGCCATGAAATTTATTTTTAAAAATCTTACTTTTGTGTCTGGGCTAGATAGCAGTAGATGAAGTTACCTTAGTTAGAATTCAAACTATTCAAATTAACCATATTTCATTCTTCCATGTTCTGAATAGATCTGTGGCTTTTTTTTTTCTATTTGCTCTTTCTAATTGGATTCACTATGCTACAAAATTTACTATGCTACAAAATATTGTAATTTCAATGTATATCAACCATCTTCTCTACTAAGCTATATGTTTAAAGTATGTATGAATAATGATAGAAGTAGAATGAAAACCTGAACAGGAGTCCTATCTCTGTTGTTACACTGCAATGTAGTAAAATGACTATAATAATAATACTTGACAGCATTGTTGTAAGAACCAAATGAGATTCTTACAACCATTGTTGTAAGAACCAATTGTCTTGTAAACTTTTGCAATATAGTATAAATGTATTAGGGACATGTAATATTGCATAAATTCAATAATACAGAAGTTTAAGGTAAAGAAAGTGAAATATTAGGTCTATTACACTGATGATATTATATCACCTACTGGTGTTTTGGCCAAAGTTTTTAGCCATTCACAGCCCAGACCACACTGGATGAATATGCAGGAAAGATTCCAATTTAGGCATGAATTGGAATGTTAGAATTATTATGTGGCATAGTTTTATTATTTGGTCTATATGTGCTACACATATAGACTTTAAAGCAATAAAAGGGCATGATATTTAAAAGAACATTTTTTAAACAATCATAGGATTGATGGCACTAAAAATTCCTAAATTTCTAAATACTAAATTAAATTACTAAGATACATATAATTGTCTGCTTAAGATGATAATTGTGCAATTTTATTTTATTTGACAAATTAATCAAAATTTGTACACTTACCGACTTTAAACTTTATGGTGTACCTTTAGAATAAATTGAAAACAATATTCCACTCTGAATTATGATACTGGGGTCACTCACTTTATTTCATGTATGTAGCTTTTTGAGGATTATATTTGTACCAGGTTATTGACTAAATTTAGGGATATAGCTGTCCTATTTTATTAGGGGCTACTATCATAATGAAATTAATTTAATGTGTTTACATTTTCTAATTATAGTTGAAGACCAATGTTTCTCTTTGGAAGGAGCTGGAGTCAACTAAAGCTGTTATTATGGGAGAAACTGCTGCTGTAGAAATAGATACCTTTCCCCGAGGAGTAATTTTAATATACCTAGTTATAGCATTTTCACCTTTTGGATACTTTTTGGCAATTCATATCGTAGCAGAAAAAGAAAAAAAAATAAAAGAATTTTTAAAGATAATGGGACTTCATGATACTGCCTTTTGGTATGTTGTTAAAAATTTGTTAACTTAATTAAAAATTGTATTAAATATATATATTGTCAGAATTGTAATTTTGCTATTTACCTAACTTGATGAAGTGCTTATCATGTTTTCTTACAATGGTTGCCTTAGTTTTGGAATTTGAGATTAGTTAACAAACTTCAACAACTAACTGGCTTCTTTTAACATAAGGGATGAAGAATATGGAAAGTTTGTGCTGACAACACGTGTAAATTTCATTTCACTTTTTTTTTTGAATCATGGGCACGCTCCATGTATATTTCAGAATATTTCAATATTCTCCATGTACATTTCTGTGTATTTCAGAATTTGGAAAATGTGAAATCTTGGGACATTAGAAATTAATTGCCTGTTACAGTTCTTCCATAATATAGCTTATATATGATATTAAAAATTTAGTTACAGTGATTAAAATCTGAATATGCAGTATATGGCCTTTTTTTCTCTTGAAAGTCTTTGTTATTTGGGTGAACTAAGATGAATATGCAAATAATTTTAGAGAAAGATATGAGAAAAATATGTTTTCACAAGTGACCTTTAATGTATCAGCATTTTTATACAATGATAATTTTATAAAGGCATGCATTTTTATAAATAATTCTAAGTGTAGTTTCCTTACTCTTTCCACTGTGTAATGAAATTCATTCTGGGGGAAAGGTTAATACTGTGCATGTGAGCTGTTATTGTAGTCTGTTTTACAAAATTTAATCCCAATTAGCCCAATGTAACAATTAATTATAACACTTTACATAATGAGGTTATTGTATATAGCATATTTCCTTTGCTTGTTTTTCTTTGATTTGTTATTTTAGAAAGTATGAGTTTTGGGTTTTTTTTTTTTTTTGAGACAGAGTCTTCCTCTGTCACCTAGGCTGGAGTATGGTGGCATGATCATGGGTCACTCACTGTGGCCTCAAACTCTCTGGCTCAAGAGATTCTCCCACCTCAGCCTCTCAAGCAGCTGGGACTACAGGGGCATGCTGCCATACCCAACTAATTTTTAAATTTTTTGTACAGGCTGGTCTCAAAGTGTTGGCCTCAAGTGATCCTTTTCATCTCGGCCTCCCAAAGTGCTGAGATTATAGGCATGAGCCACTGTGCCTGGCCAAAGGATTGGTTTTTAAGATTTATTGGGTTATTAAAGCATTTTATGGAGAACCGGTAGGTGAAAGAATTTAGGCAAATTGTTCTCTCAGGCTCTCAGTTTTGCCTCTGTAAAATGATGCATTCTATTTTGATCATTTTGCTACCTTTTTAGCCTTAACTCAGTGATTTTATGACATCATACATTAAATCCTGAGCTAACTTGAAAAAATAATGTAAAATAAAAATAATACAGCAATTCCATTGAGCTCTGATTTGTAAAGAAGTCTTGAGTAAAAATAGTGAATTTGTTACTGACCTTGTTGATTTCACATTGTGTAATTGTAGTAATTACGTCATTAATTAGTGAGGTGAGGTAGTCTTCATTGTTTATAGTTACAGAAGCCATCAGAGGTTTAATTGTAGCACATGCCACGAAGAAAATTATCTTGATTCATTAAACTTTTATATTTTAAGAAAATCAGAGATATTATGTGCTATTGAACTTTTGAGAGTATTAGATTTCAATTAATTATGAATTACTATTCATTTTGAAAGCTCTTTTGACTATGGAAGATGGTATTTTTATCACATTATAGTTTTACCTATCATTTAACCAATACTTTATTTTTAATTACTTATAAGACTATTAATTTTCAATGCGTAAGCATACACAGAAATGAACAGTGGCTTAATTTTGAGAATACAATGGCTAAAATCTAAATTTTGTTTAAAATGATTTTTTAACTGTCTAAGCCTATGCATTTGACCGTAAATATATCTGTATTTTCATTTTAGGCTTTCCTGGGTTCTTCTGTATACAAGTTTAATTTTTCTTATGTCCCTTCTTATGGCAGTCATTGCAACAGCTTCTTTGTTATTTCCTCAAAGTAGCAGCATTGTGATATTTCTGCTTTTTTTCCTTTATGGATTATCATCTGTAAGTATTTTAACTTGGGATGGGAATAAAGAACTGTCAAAATGTTTGATAACATAGCAAGGTCTTTTTTTTCAGTTTGTTTGTAGTCGATTTGCCATGAAAGACAGATTTTACTAAGTTATTGATAAATGACTTAATAAATAAATAATATAGCATCACTGTATCCCTGTATTTTTAGGAAAATTACAAAATAGTTTTAGGTTTAGATTTCGCTTATTTTCATATGATGTATTTCACATACAACTCCTCTGAGTCTGTTATTGTCTTTATATATTGATGTATATAATTAAGACTGTTGAGTATTAGACTGTTTTTGTCTTCATGAAATACTTACTTTTTCAAGTTAATTTATATTCCAGGATGATGATGATTTTAATTTTTTTAGATGGAGTCTTGCTCTGTCACCAGCCTGTGTCACAGTGGCATAATCTGGGCTCACTGCAACCTCCACCTCCCGGGTTCAAGCGATTCTTCCACCTCAGCCTCCTAAGTAGCTGGGACTACAGGAACGCACCACCATGCCTGGCTAATTTTTGTATTTTTAGTAGAGATGGAGTTTCACCATGTTGGCCAGGATGGTCTGGATCCCTTGACCTCGTGATCTGCCCGCCTCAACCTCCCAAAGTGTTGGGATTACAGAAGTAAGCCACCTCGCCTGGCCCAGGATGATGATTTTTAAAGCTGTGTCTTTGCAAATGTAACTCTTTAGCAGTGTTGATATTCATTTGGCATATTGGCTGAATGATGGGTTTTAACCACCAGCCTTTGTTTTAAGTGGTTCTATCTTCCATTCTGATTGGTTTATGTGCCTATCATGTACCAGTTGTTAAATATTTTGGCTATTATCCCTGCTTTTTAAAATAATAAATTATAGCCGGGCACGGTGGCTCACGCCTGTAATCCCAGCACTTTGGGAGGCCGAGGTGGGTGGATTACAAGGTCAAGAGATCAAGACCATCCTGGCCAACATGGTGAAACCCCATCTCTACTGAAAATACAAAAATTAGCTGGGCATTTGGCACGCGTCTGTAGTCCCAGCTGCTCGGGAGGCTGAGGCAGAAGAATCGCTTGAACCCGGGAGGTGGAGGTTGCAGTGAGCCGAGACTGTGCCACTGTCCTTCAGCCTGGCGACAGAGCAAGACTCCGTCTCTAATAATAATAATAATAGTAAATTACAAATGACTAACATACTTCCATATGTAATTTCCTATTTGTTTGTTTTTAATTTTTAGTTTTATTTTGAGATAGGGCCTTGCTCTGTGGCCCAGGCTGGAGTGCAGTGGCACACTGATAGCTCCCTGCAGCCTTGACCTCCCAGCCTCAAGCAATCCTTCAACCTTAGCCTATATATATATAAATATATATTAAAAAATTATATATATATATATAAATAAAAATTTATATATATATATATATATTTTTTTTTTCTGTGGAGTCAAGGTCTTCCTATGTGTCCAAGTTTGGTCTCCTGGGCTCAAATTATCCACTTGCATCTGCCTCCCAAAGTGCCAGGATTACATAAGTGAGCCACTGCACCAGGCCTCCTGGTTTGTTTTTTTTGTTTTTGTTTTCTTTTTAAACTGGCTTTTAAAGTTATGAATATATTAAGTTTAAAAGATGGGTCTTGTACTTAAAATTTTTGTTGATTTATTTTTGTTCACATATTTTGTGCATCTTACTGCAGAAACATATGGCCATTTATAGTTTCTATAATGTAGAGGTGGTCATGTTTACCTATGTTAACTATGATACAGATAAAAATGCAGTCTTTAATGTTTGTTAGTTTAGGGCTAGGTGCGGTGGCTCACACTTGTAATCCCAGCACTTTGCGAGGCCGAGGCAGGAGGATTGCTTGAGGCAAGGAGTTTGAGACCCGCCTGGGCAACATGGTAAAACCCTGTCTCTACAAAAAAATACAAAAATTAGCTGGACGTGGTGGCCCACTCCTGTAATCCCAGCTACTCAGGAGGCTGAGATGGGAGGATCACTTGAACCCATGAGGTAGAGGTTGCAGTGAGCCAAGATTGCACCACTGGACTTCAGTTAGGGTGGCAGAGCAAGACCCTGTCTCAAAAACAAAAACAAAAACAAAAATCACAAAAGTATTTGTTAGTTTAAACTTTTAAAATGTTTATCACTATTTGTATGAAAATAAAATATTTTTCCATAGCATTTAGAAATTATAGTTGTATTTTAATGAATGTATTTTTCATGAAAATATCTTCTTTCACAAGGAAACTTTAATTTTGTTTTCATACCAGTGTATATGAACATTGCACTAAGCTTAATATTTATATTTTCTAGGTATTTTTTGCTTTAATGCTGACACCTCTTTTTAAAAAATCAAAACATGTGGGAATAGTTGAATTTTTTGTCACTGTGGCTTTTGGATTTATTGGCCTTATGATAATCCTCATAGAAAGTTTTCCCAAATCGTTAGTGTGGCTTTTCAGTCCTTTCTGTCACTGTACTTTTGTGATTGGTATCGCACAGGTAGGTAATATATTAATCTTGCATTCACTAAATATTTTCTTACTGTTTTATGTAGCTCCTTATACTACCATGAATGCTACCTTAGATTTACAAAAAAAATTATTTTAAAATTTTAGCATGAGAAGGAAATGATTTCTGGAGTATATTATTTATACCTAGTTTTCTTTATATTTTCTCCAGTTTTTTTAGTTAAATGTGCTGTTTATAAATTTTTCACTTTTTACTTCAATGTATCTCAGTAATTTATTTCACTGCAGAAACTCAGTTTGATAGTAGTTTGTTTAAATGTCAAGTAATTCTGATTGCCCTATAGACTGATTATACTGCTACCATTTATACATTTATCTCAGAATAACATATGGGAAAAAATTGTGTGGGAAGCAGAACAAATTTATTGTGAGTGTAGTGGCGAAATAAGTAGGCCTGGTGGATTTTGTTGGCCCAGGCTTCATGGAATTGTCATTTATCTAAATAACATTCAGACTCATAAATATTATTTTTATTAGTCCTTACAGGGATAGTCAGGTTCTAACTGAAACAAATCTTATAAGAAACTGCTTTTTTGTAAGTAAGCAGCCAAGAAAAAAAAAAAAAAAAAAAAGAAACTGCTTTATAGTGGAACGTAAATTTGGCTAATGTACAAGGAAAAAATGTAATTACTAAGTATAAGAAATTACTCATGTTGGTTGGATAGAAATTCTGATTCATGAAATATAATTAAATATTGAGTTAATCATTTACTTATTTATGACCTAAGAGATGGAGTTTCACTCTTGTTACCCAGGCTAGAGTGCAATGGCGCGATCTCGGCTCACCGCAACCTCCGCCTCCTGGGTTCAGGCAATTCTCCTGCCTCAGCCTCCTGAGTAGCTGGGATTACAGGCACGCACCACCATGCCCAGCTAATTTTTTTTTGTATTTTTAGTAGAGACGGGGTTTCACCATGTTGACCGGGATGGTCTTGATCTCTTGACCTCGTGATCCACCCGCCTCGGCCTCTCAAAGTGCTGGGATTACAGGCTTGAGCCACCGCGCCCGGCGATTGTTACAAATTTTGAGAGTTCACTGAGTCCCCCTTCTCTAGGAATGTAGAATTATAGATTCATAGGTTTTTGTTGTGAGTGGAATGGCCTTTCAGTGTCATTGAATTCATCTTCATTTTATAGATGAGGAAACTGAAGCCTAGAATAGTATAATTAAAGTGTATTCACTTAATGGCAGGGCTAGGACCTAAATGAGGCTTCAACCTCCAGTACACTTCTTTTTCTACACTATCACAAATACCTACTATGAATATTTTAATAATTGTGTTAATCAAAATACCTGCTTCCTTTTTACTATTAGAAGGATGCTAACCATAATTTTATTCTCCAATACTTACTTTGTTTGGCTTCCATATGGATCATAACCCTTTTTTTAGCATTTGTAATTATTAATATTGCAGTTTATTTTTATTTCATTTGTTAGTAATTACATTAGAATTAAATGCCCCTAGAGTGAATATATCCTAGTTAAAGAAGCACAGCATTAAAAATGATTGAAAATAATTGTTTTGATAAACATATTTTTGTAAAGTCTTTATTGTTTTCCTTATAAATTTATATTATTAATTTGGTAAACTGTTTAATCTGTTAAAAGGTCCAGTTTGGTTATTGCCACTCTAGATATACTGAATAATTCTAAGTAGTGTTAGCTTTTGCTTGTTTTTATCATTTTTATGTAATAAAATTAATGTTCCTATTTTTCAGGTCATGTATTTAGAAGATTTTAATGAAGGCGCTTTATTTTCAAATTTGACTGCAGGCCCATATCCTCTAATTATTACAATTATCATGCTCATACTTAACAGTATATTCTATGTCCTCTTGGCTGTCTATCTCGATCAAGTCATTCCAGGTATGCAGGTGGTTATTGAATTTTACTTTAAAGATTTTTTGGCTTTTTTGCTCACATAGGGTCAGCTTAATTTTAAGTTTTTTTTTTTTTTTTCCTAGCCAGGGTACCCTAAGTCATATTCATTGTTAAAGCTTTTAATTTGATTTTAAATAAGTATATTTTGTACCTTAGGCTGTAGCCACTTGTGACCATAAAGAGATTGTGTAAAAAGAGGGCAGTTTGTTTTGAAAACCTTAAGTCTGTAGAGGATCTTAACTTGGTCCTTCTTTATATCAGTCTTTTTAAATTAAGTATTTTATTTTACCCTGTAAGGTCCAAAACTGTGAAGTGATCTCGTAACTCCTACATTTTCTTTATCTTCTGTCCACATCTATAGCTAATATAGCAAACTCCTATAGATTCAATAGTAGTATTAAGTATCTAGCACTTTTTATTTTCCCCTTGTATTCCTCATTACCTGTGTCTGTATTCTACACCTGGACTGTCACATATGGTAACTACTAGCCATGTGTGGCTTTTAAAATTTAAATTGATTAAAATTAAATCAGTTAATTTATTTTTTTCAGTAGCACAAGCCACATTAATTGATTAAAATTAAATCAGTTAACAATTTATTTTTTTCAGTAGCACAAGCCACATTCCAAGTGCTTAGTAGCCATATATGGCTGTTAGTTACTAAATTGTATGGTGCCATCTAGATGTTCTATGGAACATTTTCACCATTATGAAAGATGTGCTGTGTAATACTACTCTAGTTTAGGGGTTCCCAACTTCCAGGACAAGGACCTCACTAGTTGCCTGTTAGGAACTGGGCTGCACAGCAGAAAATGAATGATGGGCAAGCAAGAGAAGCTTCATTTGTATTCACAGCTGCACCTGATCGCTCACATTACCACCTGAGCTCTGCCTCCTGTCAGATCAACAGTGGCAGCATCAGATTCTCATAGGAGCGTGAACTCTGTTGTGAAATGCGCATGTGAGGGATCTAGGTTGTATGCTGCTTTTTTTGTTTTTTGTTTTTTGTTTTTTTTAAAGACGGGGTTTCACCATGTTGGTCAGGCTGGTCTTGAACTCCCGACCTCAGATGATCTTCCCACCTTGGCGTCCAAAGTGCTTGGATTACAGGCGTGAGACACCACGCCCAGCCAGTTGTATGCTTCTTATGAGAATCTAGTGACTGATGATCTGTCACTGTCTCCCATCACCCCCACTTGGGACCATCTGGTTGCAGAAAAACAAGCTCAGGGCTCCTACTGCTTCTATATTATAGCGAGTTGTATAATTATTTCATTATATATTACAGTGTAATAATAATAGAAATAAAGTGCACAATAAATATAATACATTTGAATCATCCTGAAACTATCCTTGCCCCTTCTCTGTGAAAAAGTTGTCTACCATAAAACTGGTACCTGGTGCCACAAAGGCTGGGGACCACTATTCTAGACCATTGCAGTACCTCTCATCTAGTTATATACCTCAAGTCTATCTGAACACTTCACCTCTTTTTTTTGAGATTTTTATTATTATTATTACTGTTTTTTATTTAGATAGGGTTTTGGGAAATAGGTGGCATTTGGTAACATGAATAACTTCTTTATTGCACTCATCACCCAAGCAATGTACACTGTACCCAGTGTGTAGTCTTTTATCCCTCCCCCCTCCCACGTTTCCCCTGAGTCCCCATCATCTATTATATAGTTCTTATGTCTTTTCGTCCTCATAGCTTAGCTCCCACTTATGATTTTTGGTTTTCTATTCCTGAGTTACTTCACTTAGAATGATGGTCTCCATTTCCATCCAGGTTGCTGCAAATGGCATTATTTGTTCCTTTTTATGGATAAGTAGTATACTATGGTGTGTGTGTGTGTGTGTGTGTGTGTGTGTGTGTGTGTGTGTCACATTTTCTTTATCCAGTCGTTGGCTGATGGACATTTAGGCTGGTTTCATATTTTTGCAATTGTGAATTGTGCTGTTATAAACCTGCATGGGCAAGTGTCTTTTTCACAGAATGACTTCTTTTATTCTGGATAGATGCCTAGGAGTGGGATTGATGGATCAAATTGTAGACTTACTTTTAGTTCTTTAAGGAATTTCCACACTGTTTTTTATGGTGGTTTTACTAGTTTACATTCCTATCAGCAGTGTAAAAGTGTTCCCTTTCACCACATCCACACCAGCATCTATCACTTTTTGATGTTTTGATTATGGCCATTCTTGCAGGAGTAAGGTGATATTGCATTGTGGTTTTGATATGCATTTCCCTGATCATTAGTGATGTTAAGCATTTTTTCATGTTTGTTGGCCATTTGTATATGTTCTTCGGAGAGCTGTCTATTCATGTGCTTAGCCTACTTTTTGATGGGATCGTTTGTTTTGTTCTTGCTGATGTTTGAGTTACTCATAGAGTCTAGATATTAGTCCTTTGTCAATGTATATATTGCAAAGACTTTCTCCCACTCTGTGGGTTGTCTGTTAACTGCTGATTATTTCTTTTGATATGGAGGTTTTTAGTTTAATTAAGTCCCATCTATTTATCTTTGTTTTTGTTGCATTTGCTTTTTGGTTCTTGGTCATAAAGTCTTTGCCTAAGCCAACATCTAGAAGGGTTTTTCTTATGTTATCTTCTCGAATTTTTATGGTTTCAGGTCTTAGATTTAAATCTTTGATCTGTCTTGAGTTGATTTTTGTATAGGGTGAGAGATGAGAATCCAGTTTCATTCTTCTATATGTGGAATGCCAGTTATCCCAGCATTTGTTGAATAGGGTGTCCTTTCCCTACTTTATGTTTTTGTTTGCTTGCTGTTGGAGCAGTAACAGTTGCCAGTGGGAATGCCACATACTGATAAAATAAATTGGAATCCCCTGTACTTGGCATCAGATTCCTTTGAAATATGGCCAATCTAGAAGAGTAGACATTTGAAAAAAATAAGGAGTGTAGGTATTTTGAGGGGAAAAAGGGAGAAAATGGAACATGTTCTGCGGGCAGTTATCACTGTATGCTATTCCTTTCTTCCCTCCCTCCCTCCCTCCCTTCCTTCCTTCCTTCCTTCTTCCCTTCCCTTCTTTTTCTTTCTTTTCTTTTCTTTTTCAGTCAGGGTCTTACTGTGTTTTTCAGGCTGGAGTGTAGTGGCACAATCATGGCTCACTGCAGCCTTAGTCTCCTGGGCTCATGTAATCCCCTTGCCTCAGCCTCTCAAGTAGCTGGGACTACAGGCATGCACCACCATATCTGACTAATTTGTTGCATTTTTTTGTAGAGACAAGGTTTTGCCATATTGCCTCGGCAGGTCTCAAACTCCTGGGCTCAAGAAATCTGCCAGCCTCTGCCTTCCAAAATGTTAGGATTATAGGTGAGAGCCACCATACCTGGCCTCACTGTATACCATTCCAAGTCTCATATTTCTATCCCGCTGGTTTGTCGCTCCCCCTAATTCTATAGTCTTTTCCATGAAGCATATTCATTCTTCTAGATACTACTTGTTTTCAAAGACCATTTAAGATGGTGCCCATTCAAGTCTTCAGTGCATTCAGCCTGTGTTGTGTTCTTTGCCATTTGCTATCTACTTGTACTCATAAAGGTATTAGTTCCTTTAGCACAGAAAATGTGTTTTATTCACCTTTACATCCCCGTTTATTCTCTGAAACTCTGAAACTATTTAGGGACTAGAATTATTTATCAGTAAAACTTTGATTCATACAATATTGATGTAATACTTTACGCCTAAACTTTATTTCCTTATTACTTTTAAATGACAAATGAAAATTGTATATGTTTATTGTGTACAACCTGATGTTTGGAAATATATATATGTTGCAGAATGGTACCTAAACTTTAGATGAAGGTTGTCATATGTTTCAAATACTGTCTTTATGATTTAAAAACTAATGATAACTCAGTTTTTTAATGTTTATTTTTCAGGGGAATTTGGCTTACGGAGATCATCTTTATATTTTCTGAAGCCGTCGTATTGGTCAAAGAGTAAAAGAAATTATAAGGAGTTATCAGAGGGCAATGTTAATGGGAATATTAATTTTAGTGAAATTATTGAGCCTGTTTCTTCGGAATTTGTAGGAAAAGAAGCCATAAGGTATGATTCAGTCTTTGGCAATTTAGGTATAAGAACTGCTGATGGAACCTGCCACATTTAAATCCTATTCTTTAAATATGTATGTAAATTTGGTAACTTAGATTTGGTATGTATGCCATGATTTTAAAACATTAATAGGGGTGACTTCTCTTTTTCTTATTTTGTTTGCAACCATTTAGAATAAAGTTGGTGCTAGTTTTGAAATTTTATGTTTGTTTCTTCCTTTCCTTTTTCCTTTTTCCTTTTTCCTCTTTCCGTTTTCCGCTTTCCTTTCCTTTCCTTTCCTTTCCTTTCCTTTTTCCTTTCCTTTTTCCTTTCCTTTTTCCTTTCCTTTTTCCTTTCCTTTTTCCTTTCCTTTTTCCTTTCCTTTCCTTTCCTTTTTCCTTTCCTCTTTCCTTTCCTCTTTCCTTTCCTCTTTCCTTTCCTTTCCTTTCCTTTCCTCTTTCCTTTCCTTTCCTTTCCTTTCCTTTCCTTTTTCCTTTCCTTTCCTCTTTCCTTTCCTCTTTCCTTTCCTTTCCTTTCCTCTTTCCTTTCCTCTTTCCTTTCCTCTTTCCTTCCCTCTTTCCTTCCCTCTTTCCTTCCCTCTTTCCTTCCCTCTTTCCTTCCCTCTTTCCTTCCCTCTTTCCTTCCCTTTTTCCTTCCCTCTTTCCTTCCCTCTTTCCTTCCCTTCCCTTCCCTTCCCTTTCCTTTCTCCTTTCCTTTCCTTTCCTTTCCTTTCCTTTCCTTTCATTTCCTTTCCTTTCTTTCCCTTCCTCTTTCCTTCTTTCCTTTCTTTCCTTTTTCCTTTCTTTCGATAGAATCTTGCTCTGTCGCCCAGTCTGGAGCACAGTGGCACAATCTCAGCTCACTGTAACCTCTGCCTCCCAGATTCAAACAATTCTTATGCCTCAGCCTCCCAAGTAGCTGGGTCTACAAGCACGTGCCACCATGCCTGGCTGATTTTTATATTTTTAGCAGAGATGGGGTTTCACCATGTTGGCCAGACTGGTCTCAAATTCCTGGCCTCAAGTGATCCACCTGCCTTGGCCTCCCAAAGTGCTGGCATTACAGGTATGAGCCACCACACCTGTCCCTGAAATTTTATGTTTGAATGGAAAAGTTTAAAAGTAATAAAACCTGATGTTTATGCAATTAATGTTTATAGATTTTCCCATTATGTAGACTGAAACATGATAACTATTAACTCTATAATTTTATTCATGCTACTTTGTCTTATACAGCATGTTAAAGTGTCCACTGTTAATTTTATAGACTTCTAGGGTTTTGTGACATAATTAGAATATTACATTAATTTTTTTTTTTTTTTTTTTGAGATGTAGTTTCAGTCTTGTTGCCCAGGCTGGAGTGCAATGGTGCAATCTCGGCTCACCACAACCTCCACCTTCTGAGTTCAAGTTGTTCTCCTGCCTGAGCCTCTCAAGTATCTGGGATTACAGGCATGCACCACCACGCTCTGCTAATTTTGTATTTTTAGTAGAGATGGGGTTTCACCATGTTGGCCAGACTGGTCTTGATTTCCTGACTTCAGGTGATCCGCTCGCCTCAGCCCCTCAAAGTGCTGAGATTACAGGCAAGAGCCACCATGGCTGGCCTACTTTAATTTTTAAGAACCAAAGAAATTCATTACTGTTCCTTGCTAGGTCAGTCAGTACCAAATTTAGAAATAAATTAAGGAGAAAGAAAATAAAATGAAATTAAAAAGTGAAGCATATTTTTAAAATTTAAGAAAAATGTAAAAATTCCAGAGAGTCCAAATACTTAAGATGTAATTTGTTGGCCAGTGGTCTCCTTTATCAAGGGTAAATTTTAACTGATTAACAAATCATTTCCTTAAAAAGAAATGAAAAAAAAGTTAGAATAAGAAAATCACTTCACATTTATTAATGGTTTGAAATGTGTGCTGACATGAAATAGCATCTGTTTTTATATTCCCCCTTCACCAATGTAACAAGTGTTTGATTATCAGAAATGAAAAGAAATCCATAAATTGGCTTAAATCAAATGCTTCACTTAGTTTTAGAAGCTGAGTTGGCATGAAAAATGAATCAGTGACACTTACAATGGAAAGGAATACTGTGCTTTTCTCTGGCAGCTTCTTTAAAATAATTTTATAATTGATCTCTGAAAAACACAAGTTGGAACTGCACCAGTTGACTTGCACATGGATTTTTTTCAATAAACATTTTGGAAAATTTTTTGGAGATGTGCAACAATTTGAAAAAACTCGCAGATGAACTGTTAGCCTACAAATATTAAATAATAATAATAGTAATGTTAGGTATGTCATGAATGCATAAAATATTTATAGATATTAGTCTATTTTAACATTTACAATCATAAAATATGCACAGATCTATTCTAGTAAGTTATACTTTATCAAAACTTAATGCATGCAATTATGACAGACCATACATTATGCCAATGCATGATTGAGAGAAATGTAAACAAATGTGAAGATGCAGTATTAAATCATAACAACATAAAGTTAACTACAGTATTACTGTACACTGTAATAATTTTATAGCACCTTCTTTTCCTGTCATGGTGAGCTTAAGTGTTCCAAGTATATACTTCAAATGCCTTGAGATGACTTAAATTATTTCCTTGTGAGCAGTTCATCTCTCCAGTAAATTGCATATCATGATAAAAAGTAATGTCTCAGGGTTCTTGCTTATTTTTTATCATGTTTAGTGCAATACTTCAAGCTTAGAATAGCATCATGGGATACACAGGAATTGCCACTAGTGATGCTGGAAGTGCTTTCAAGAAGCAGAGAAAGGTCATGACATTATAAGAAAAAGCTGAACTGCTTGATATGTATCATAGATTGAGGTTTGAGAGTACAGATGCCTGGCATTTTGAATAGACTATGTATCTTGTTCATCTTATAAATAGATGGTGTAAACTGATGGCATTGATAAATATAGTATAGTACTGTAAACATATATATTTACCTTATAATGTTCGTAACATTTTCTTTCCTCTAGTGTACTTTATAATAATATAGTATTTAACATTTAAAACCTGCAAAATATATGCTAACCAACCGTTTATATTATCTTCAAGGCTTCCTATCAACAGTAGTCTGGCAGTAGATTAGTTTTGGGGGAGTAAAAAGTTATATGTGGATTTTCAACTGTGTAGCAGGGGAAGTTGGCACTCCTAATCTGTGTTTTCAAGCATCAATTGTATAGTTATTATCAGCTTTCTTTGGTTCATTGTTTTAGTAGGAAAGTATTATTATTTTATTCTTATAAAATGTGATAGCTTTGATAAAAATATTATACACGTAAACACACATATAAATTGCTTTAAATACTTAAAATATAAAACTCTATTTTTCAGAATTAGTGGTATTCAGAAGACATATAGAAAGAAAGGTGAAAATGTGGAGGCTTTGAGAAGTAAGTAGCTTTCCTAGTATTCAGGCCATAGTATTAAAGTACAAATATAAAGATAATTTGCATAGCTTGTGGGAAATTTAAACTTCTCTACCAAATTTTTTGTCTTGCTTTTTTTTTCCCCCCCTGAGTTGGAGTCTGGCTCTTGTTGCCCAGGCTAGAGTGAAGTGGCATGATCTCAGCTCACTGTAACCTTCGCCTCCTGGTTCAAGCGATTCTCCCACCCCAGTCTCCCAAGTAGCTGGGATTACACGCACCCACTATCATGCCTGGCTAATTTTTATATTTTTGTAGAGTTGGAGTTTCACCATGTTGGGCAGGCTGGTCTCAAACTCCTGACCTCAGGTGATCTGCCCGCCTCGGCCTCTTAAAGTGCTGGGATTACAGATGTGAGCCACCGCACCTGGCCTCTGTCTTGCTTTTTGAGATAACTTCCATTTATGTGATTAATATTCAATATAAAACTAACAATATGAAATTTGTAAAAGTAAAAAATAATATCTATTAAGATTAAAAATAATTATTTGAATAAGCCTATGTCATTATTTCATTATTTTGTATGTATACAATACATGTTAGTCACTTTTTAAAAAATTCATTTGGCCTATTATAAGGTTTTTCAGCCTCAGCACTACTGACATTTTTGTCCTGATAATTCTTTGCTGTAGAGAACTGTTCTTTATTATAGAATGTTTAGCATTGTGTCAATGTGTTAATCCCCAGAACCAAGAGATCACACACACACACACACACACACACACACACACACACACACACACACAGTATGAATACAGGGTGGGGGATTAGGGGAAGTTTGTTTTAAGTAATTACTTAATGAGATCATGGGCCTGGTAAGTGCAGAAATCTAAAAGGCAGTTTGGAAACTCAGGCAGGAGTTGAAGTTTCAGTCTTGAGTTCAAAACCTGCAGAGAGGATGACAGGCTGCAAACTCATGTAGGAATCTGTTACATTCTTGAGGTAGGACTCTTCCAAGAAACCCCAGTTTTTTCTCTTAAGGCCTTCAACTGATTGGATAATGTTTACCATTATTATCAAGAGTAATCTAGTTTAAGTCAGATGATTATAAAAGTTAATGATATCTACAGCAACATCTACATCAGTATTTTTCCAAATAACTGTGCACTGTAGCCTAGCCAGGGGGACCCATAAAATTAACCTTCACCAGCAGCATCCCTGGCTTTGATCACCAAAGAGAGAAGGAGTTCTGCCACAAGAATGTAACACATTCTTACATGAGTTTCCAGCCTGTCAGCCTATGAATTTTGGACTCAAGACTGCAACTTTAATTCTTGCCTAAGTTTTCAACCTGCCCTACAGATTTTCAAACTTACCAGACCTCACAATCTTTTGAAGCAGTTCCTTAAAATAAACCTTCCCTAATTCCCCAACCCAACACTCATACTTGTTCCATTGTGTGTAGTCTCTTGGTTCTGGAGACTGACTGACACACTGCTAAACATTCCTAGCTTCTGCCCACCACGTGCCTGAGTAAACCCCCTCTCCTAGTTGTAACAACCAAAAATGTCTCCAGGCTTTACCAAATGTCTTCTAGGAGACAAATTAATTAAGAAGAAAGTAGGGACAGTGGTATATTAATAGGGTTTTAGTTTGCATTTGCCTAATGTTATTAATCACCTTTTTATATGATTATTGGCATTTGGAGGTTTTCCTTTATTAAACACCTATGCAAGTTCTTTTCACATTTTGGTTTTTAAGACCTTTGTTAGATACAGGTATTTAAATATTTATCTCAGTCTGAGGCTTGCCTTTTAATTCTAATAATAGTGTCTTTTGATGAACACAAGTTCTTAATTTGAATGAAGTCCAATTTATGAATCTTTTATGGTTACAGTGCTTTTCAAGTCTTTTTATTCAACATTGGAAATTATGTGTGGCCTCCAATGTAAAGTTACTATAATAACTAATAAATTATAATAATAATTGTAATAACAACTACAACTAATTGTTTCTAATGCAAAGAAGGAAGAGAATGAAATAAAAGGCATCCAGATTGAAAAAGATGCAGTTAAATTATTTATGTGCAGTTGACATAATAATCTGTTTTTAAAATCTTTTAGATCAACAAAAAAAATAGTGGAACTAAACAGTGAGTTTTGCAAGATGATAGGATACATGATAAATAATGGAAAAATCAATTATATTTCTATATGTTACCAACGCATAATTGGAAATTAAAATTAAAAATAGCATTTAGCATAAAAAAAATCCTTACAGGTAAATAAGACAAAAGGTGTAAAAGACATATCCTGAAAAGTACAAAACATTGCTGAGACAAATTAAAGAAGACAAATAAATAGAGAGAAATACCACGTTAATGGGGCGGAACACTTAATGTTCGGTTATTGAGTTCCCTTTCATCTTTTAACTTAGATTACTGGCCTTAGGCTCTGAGACTTTTTCCTTCTTGTTTTATATTTTAGCCTTCTTAGCCTAGTTTTTGTTGTTGTTGTTTGTTTGTTTGTTTTTGAGACAGGGTCTTGTTCTGTCCCCCAGGCTGGAGTATAGCGGCACAATCTTGGCTTATCACTGCCCTGACTTCCCAGGATCAGGTGATTCTCCCACCTCAGCCTCCCAAGCAGTTGGGACTACAGGTGCCATCACGCCTAGCTAATTTTTGTATTTTTTTTTTTTCTTTTTTTTTTTTTAGACGGAGTTTCGGTCTTGTTACCCAGGCTGGAGTGCAATGGCGCGATCTCGGCTCACCGCAACCTCCGCCTCCTGGGTTCAGGCAATTCTCCTGCCTCAGCCTCCTGAGTAGCTGGGATTACAGGCACGCGCCACCATGCCCAGCTAACGTTTTTGTATTTTTAGTAGAGACGGGGTTTCACCATGTTGACCAGGATGGTCTCGATCTCTTGACCTCGTGATCCACCCGCCTCGGCCTCCCAAAGTGCTGGGATTACAGGCTTGAGCCACCGTGCCCGGCTAATTTTTGTATTTTTTTAGAGACAGGATTTCACCATGTTGCCCAGGCTAGTCTCAAACCCCTGGGCTCAAGTAATCCTCCCGTCTCAGCCTCCCAAAGTGTTGGGATTACAGGCGTGAGCCACTGTGCCTGGCCAGCCTAATTTTTTTACTAAGCCGTTTCTGCTTCATCATTTCAGATCCCTATCCCCTGTCTTCCTTTAGTCCTTTATGTATCCATTCAGTGATATTGCTTCTTTAAATCTAACCTTTCAAGCCATTTCTATAGTATTAATTGCTTTTTTTTTTTTTTTTTTTTTTTTTTTTTTTTTTGCCAGTTTATTTAAATGCCTATAAATATCCTTGGGAACAAATTTTTGCTTGTTTTAAATCCCTTGGCAATGCCCAAAAATTGGGACACAGAAAACTCCCAAATATTTTGTGTATTCCTAAATCTTACTGTATGAATAAATAAAGCTGATTTTTATTTACTTTCCTTACTGTTTATATCATCGACTGTAACAAAGAAGCTATTTTACATGCTATCAAATATGCTGGTAACTTTAAATATGTATTTATAGTTATATCACCTTGAAGATTGCACAAATATTATGAATTATCATGCAAAGCTGAACAGACATAAAAATCACATTTGAGTCTTCTTTTTTCCTGAACTAGATTTGTCGTTTGACATATATGAGGGTCAGATTACTGCCTTACTTGGCCACAGTGGAACAGGAAAGAGTACACTGATGAATATTCTTTGTGGACTATGCCCACCTTCTGATGGTGAGAGTTTTCTGTCTTAAAGGAAGAAAAGAAACTTCCATATATATTTATATGTGTGTGTGTGTGTGTGTGTGTGTGTGTGTGTGTGTGTATTTAAATGTGTTGAATAATTTTTGTCAATGATTGGAACCAACTTCTGTATCTGTAAAGGTGTTTTTTTTTTTTTCTTGACTACACACGTGGTTGTTTTAATAGACAATAAAAATTATTCTATCATGTTTAATAAAGTAAAAAGGATCTAATTTCATACATATTTCTATATATATACACACATATACAACATACATCTGTATGTTGTATATGTGTGTGTGTTTATTCATCATTTTCAAGGAAGGATAAATGGGTAACTTATTGGAAATTAAATCAGAACTATAGACTGGGGTTGAGAAAATGAATATAGATATCTAAATATATAGCAGTAGCTCAAAAGGAAATAATCATAAATGTTCATAACTATCTTCTAAAATAGGATTTTTTTTTTTTTTTTTTAGACGGAGTTTCACTCATGTTACCCAGGCTGGAGTGCAATGGCGCGATCTCGGCTCACTGCAACCTCCGCCTCCTGGGTTCAGGCAATTCTCCTGCCTCAGCCTCCTGAGTAGCTGGGATTACAGGCACACACCACCATGCCCAGCTAATTTTTTGTATTTTTAGTAGAGACGGGGTTTCACCATGTTGACCAGGATGGTCTCGATCTCTTGACCTCGTGATCCACCCGCCTCGGCCTCCCAAAGTGCTGGGATTACAGGCTTGAGCCACCGCGCCCGGCCTAAAATAGAATTTTAAAGGCATACCTCAAAAGTATAATTTTGATATGTGATTATTCTTTAGGCAAGAATTCAATATAGTAGCTCCATATTTTGGCAGTAATTAGAGTGGCAGTACAAAAAATATTTTACTTTACTAAAGGGCTGAATTATATTGAATCTGCATTTCAACTCTTTAAATATTGTTTAACTTTTAAAATTAGTTTGGTTTTGTTATTTGTCTTTAGTTGTATCACTTTTTGTTGATAGCTATAATATCTTACATTTATATAAGAAAATTATGATTTTTCTCATGATTCTTCATAATGTATGATTGTTTTGATTTAGTAGTTCTTTAGTGGGATATATTAGTGTTCACTTTATAGAAAAGGAAAGCTGGAATTAAGAGAGATTAAGTAATTTGGCCATGACCACACAGCTAGCTAGGATAAAATTTATAGTTCTTTAATCCCTCCACTATTGCATAATGTCTACAAAATTGTTACTGGAATACAAATGTAAACAATATATCAATAGATATATATGTTTAGCATCAAGCTTTTAGTTTCTTGATTTTCCCACTATGTTATATGACCTGTAAGTGATGGAAAATGAGATAGAAATATAAGTGGATGCAGATCATCAATAACATGGAAAAGAGGGTATATTGTGTCTTGTAAATTTATATTAATTTTTTAACTTATATGTCTGTTATAACCAAATAAGTTATCAGAATACTTCAAAACATACACATTTAAAATAATTAATGTACATTTAAATATATATTTTGCTTTTAGGGTTTGCATCTATATATGGACACAGAGTCTCAGAAATAGATGAAATGTTCGAAGCAAGAAAAATGATTGGCATTTGTCCACAGTTAGATATACACTTTGATGTTTTGACAGTAGAAGAAAATTTATCAATTTTGGCTTCAATCAAGGGGATACCAGCCAACAATATAATACAAGAAGTATGCTATTCATATAGAAATCTTTGCTTTTATTTTCTGTAATTAATCTTTTGTAATGACTTGTGCAATAAAAATATGCTTGAAAATCTAAATATAACACTTGTCTTGAGCTAAACAGAAAGCTATTACAAAGAATTAGACAGAATTTGGAGTAAATGTTTTAGCAAACATAAAAGTTTGTTTCTTCTGGAGGATGCTTGTCTGCCATACTCCTACCTTCTCTTCCTCTCATCTCCTCTACCCCCTCCTACTTCCACACATACACTAAGAGCCCTCACAGTGATTCCTTCCACCAAAGAAGATACAAAAGTAAAACCTTTCCCTCAAGAATCTTGTTACCTGTTGTTTTCATAATTATATATGAATATATGTAAAAGGAAGTTCCATGCTAAAGGAACATTTTTAAAGTTGATATTAAAATTATTTTAAAACATATGTTACTTAAATATTTAACATATTAAAACTTAAAATATTTAAAAAATATATTGATAATTACATAAATGATATGATTTAAAAAATAACATTGGTCATGCTTTACTTTTACAGGTGCAGAAGGTTTTACTAGATTTAGACATGCAGACTATCAAAGATAACCAAGCTAAAAAATTAAGTGGTGGTCAAAAGAGAAAGCTGTCATTAGGAATTGCTGTTCTTGGGAACCCAAAGGTAAATAAATATTAGTTTTACAAATGAGATTATTTTAAATTATGTCAAATTAAAAAGCAGTTTGTAGAAAGATATGTATTATGTAAAGGTTAAGTATATACATAAAATACTATATGCTATTAGGGAGGTAATCACAGTAATGAGATTTTAAAACTGAAGACAGAAAAATGTATAACTTCTTTTTTTTTTTTTTTTTGTAGTTTTTGAGGTACTAGAGCGTTTTGGTTACATGGATGAACTATATAGTGATGAATTCTGAGATTTTAGTGTACCCATCTCCTGAGTAGTTTACATTGTACTCAATATGTAGATTTTTTTTTATTCCTCACCCTCCTTCTGCCCTTCTCTTTCTGAGTTACAACATCTTTATGATAACTTGTTACTTTTAGGAAGGAGAATGGAAGAATAGACCTTAGTTATGACTGCTGTGCTTGCTTGCTTGCTTGCTTTCTCTTTCTTTCTTTCTTTCTTTCTTTCTTTCTTTCTCTCTCTCTCTCTCTCTCTCTTTCTTTCTTTCTTTCTTTCTTCTTTTCTTTTCTTTTCTTTTTTTTTCATCTGTAGAGATGAGATCTTGCTATATTGCCTAGGCTGGTCTTGAACTCTTGGCATCATGCAAGCCAACTGCCTTTGCCTTCCAAAGTGATGGGATTACAGGCATGAGCCACCACGCCTGGCCTCCATGTTTTATTTCTTTAAAAAATTATCTGAAGAAAATGTGGCCAAAAAATAACATTGCTGAATTGGAATGGTAGCTTTAATAGTATTACTTTTTTGTTTTCTGTAGTTTAAAAAAATATTTGTTATAGTTAATAACAAAGGTTAAGAAACAAAATCAAAGGAATAATTCAGTTTGTCACTGTCTTCTGCTTTGATTTTTTATGTATTTGTTTTATGCTGTTCTCTGTCATAGAAACAGATAAACAACTGATGTACTACTTTACACACACACGGCGTTAAAACTAACAGGTGCATGCAGCTAGGATGACCATCCCGGGTTTAGTGATGTCCTAGGAAAACTCACAGGACTCAGCGCATAGTCATACTCATTGCTATGATTTATTACAGCAGCTAGGATGATCTGTTGATTCCCACCATCTTGCCACATTCTCCCTTGCTGTTGCAACTGGGGAATGATTCTGGATCCTGGCTTTATGTTACTTAGTCTTCCTCTCAGCCCCCATCACCATGTTTTTTTTTAAATTAAAAATAGTCTTGAAACAAACTGTTTCCCTTGAACTAATATAAAACTGTATATTCTTCTCCAAAAAAAGCAAGTGTTACATCTATAAATGTAATTGTTGAGGATAATAGCAATATACTTAATGTTGTTGTTTAGATTATTTATCTGTCATTATGCTTTTGTCTTATATATTACAGAGAGTCTTTTAGAATTAAACCAGGGAAAATACTCACATGACAAATTTATAATTTAAAAAATTTATGTGAGTGCAACTATGAATGAAAAAAGAAATCTGATCTATTATATTTCTGATTGAAAATAATAACTTGAAATGGAGCAGTTTTTTAGTGTCCACATGCGTTTTTAATATTTAGTTTTTCTGAGGATTCTCTTTTTATACAGATACTGCTGCTAGATGAACCAACAGCTGGAATGGACCCCTGTTCTCGACATATTGTTTGGAATCTTTTAAAATACAGAAAAGCCCATCGGGTGACAGTGTTCAGTACTCATTTCATGGATGAAGCTGACATTCTTGCAGGTGAGATTTTTGCTTTATTTTTGAAGGCTGAGATCATGGGCCAAAAGGAAGATAGACATAGAGATGCTAATTCCTGAGGTATAAATAGAGAAGCTTTTACCTAGAGGTATATTTCCTTCACAAAAAAAGTTTTAAAAATTTTAAAATGATATATTTTGTGTTGAGCATCTCTAAGACCATTCCAGGTTTAGTGATGTCCTAGGAGAACTCATAGGACTCAGCACATAGTCATACTCGTGGCTATGATTTATTACAGCAAAAGGATGCAAAGCAAAATTAGCAAAGGGAAAAGGTATATAAGGCAAAGTCTAGAGGAAACCAGATGGAAGCTTCCAAGAGTTCTCTCCCAGTAGAGCAGACAGATGTGCTTTAATTTCTTCAGCATTGAATTGTAACAACATGTGTGAAATATCTACTTGGGAAAGTTAGTATATACTCGGTGTTCAAGATTCTTACTGGGTGCTGGTCACATAAGTATCTTCTGCCTAGCACATACCAAAGTTTCAAATTCCCAGAAGTAAAAAAGGTATTCAGCATAAACCACATTGTTTGTACAGTTTAGGCAGTGAGCCACCCTTATTTGTTTTAAGAATAGTAGGAACCCTCCCAAAGCCAAGTTCTCACCTAACAGCCAAGGGCCAACCTTGTAAGCAGGTCTAAGGATAGAAGCCTCCGACCTGCTTTTTCTGCACAATTTTATATACATACATATAAAGAATCAAAGTTAAAGTCAGCACATCACTTTTAATATCTATGACAAAATACAGAAGTTTAAAATTCTAGAGCAACTTCTGTCTGCTTATAATTATAAGCTAATAAAATTGGGCAAGTCATTCATGTCTTTTGTAGTATCTTTGTTTTAAAAAATCCAACAAACTAATATTTGTTCTTCTTATTCTGTTGATTTTGGGAGTTATTTCTACATTTGGTTATAAAGGAAATTGTGAAAGTGCTTGTATTGGTAAGGCTTTTAGGAAAAATCAGATATTTGGAATAATATATGGAAAGTCGACTCTAGAGTCAGACTGCTTGAGTATACTTCCTGGCTTTGTTACTTAATAGCCACATGAAACATATATAAGGAATCTATTTTCTTTTTGCCTTAGTATTCATATCTGAAAAATAGTTGATGATAATTTTTTATGTTAAAAAACATAAAAGTAATTGTGTTTACTTTGTTGTCAAGAAAAAAAGAAATTGCTTGTAGGCCTCCTGAGAATAAGGCATATATGTATGTTTGTATATATTCTCAGGTTCTTTTCTAGTTTCATCCTCATAAGATTGCTGTGATGATTAATGATATCATAACATGGATGGCTTTAATATGAGAAACCATAAAATATAAATGCCAATTATTAATGCTGTTGATAACTTAGAAATTGAAATGTAAATATTTATCTGCAGATAGGAAAGCTGTGATATCACAAGGAATGCTGAAATGTGTTGGTTCTTCAATTTTCCTCAAAAGTAAATGGGGGATTGGCTACCGCCTGAGGTATCATTGAGTTTTATTGACATTATTCTGTATTATACTCTTGATATACTGTTATTATTTGGAGTCTTGCTGTTGTATGCTTTGACTATCTTTGAGGGCACTAAATTTAATTTAAAGCCTTTATTATAATTTTCTTTTGGCTGTTTATTGTGTAATCATTAATTATGATTTTTGGTATTCTTTAGCATGTACATAGACAAATTTTGTGCCACTGAATCTCTTTCTTCACTGGTTAAACAACATATGCCTGGAGCTACTTTATTACAACAGAATGACCAACAACTTGTGTATAGCTTGCCTCTCAAGGACATGGACAAATTTTCAGGTATTACTTACTCTGTCTCTTGGTGTTTGAATTGGGATCTTACACTGGGAATAGGTTTTATTGATACCCTTTTTGTTTTTGTCTCCATGTAGTATTGCCATGCTCCCAGGTGGCCAGAGTTAATATTCTGTTTCTGCTTTATTTTGTTTTCGAAAACTAGAAAAAATACAGTGAATTTTTTTGTTGTTACAAACACCATGTAAGAAACGGTAACTAATATATTAAATACTTAAGAAAATGTTAAAAAACGTAAGAATATTTGTGTTTACTTTGTTGTCAAGAAAAAAAATTACTTGTAGGCCTCCTGAGAGTAAGGCGTATGTGTATGTTTGTATACATTCTCAGGTTCTTTTCTAGTTTCATGATTTCATAATGAATTACATGACAAATCCTTGAATCCTTTTAATTGAGGCTTATTTTTTAACTTTTTAATGAGGAACTCAAACTCAGCCTCCTTCCTCTGTTTAGGAATTGCATGATAGCCAAAAGGATGTTATTGATGTAAGTATATTGTGCAGAATTTTCATAGCATTTATCTCATAATCAGAAAAGTTAAAAAAAAAAAGAAATCACAAATTAAGTGGACTGAAGTACACTTGCCAACTTAATGTGCTCTGCCTATTATTCTATCTACTTATACCTACCTACCTCCTATTCTTTTTTTTTTTTTTTTTTTTTTTTGAGATGGAGTCTCGCTCTGTAGCCCAGGCTGGAGTGCAGTGGCGCCATCTCGGCTCACTGCAACCTCCGCCTCCCGGTCCTGATTCAAACAATTCTCCTACCTCCGTCTCTCAAGTAGCTGGGATTACAGTCACGAGCCACCATGCCCAGCTAATTTTTGTATTTTTTAGTAGAGACGGGGTTTCACCATGTTGGTCAGTCTGGTCTTGAACTCCGGACCTTGTGATCCGCCCACCTCGGCCTCCCAAAGTGCTGGGATTACAGGCTTGAGCCACCGTGCCCGGCCCCTCCTATTCTTTAGTAACGTTTATATAGTGCTTATTTTCTACCAAATGCTGATCTGTGCCTTTTGCAATTATTAGTTTATTTCATTATCCCAATATTTCAATAAATAGATGAGATAAATACTATTATTGCTTTCATTTTTCAAATGAAGAAACTAAGGCACTTGCCCAAGGTAACACAGGTAGAAAGTGGTGAATCTGAGTTTTGAACCCAGGCAAATCAATTGCAGAACTCCTGTTTTTCACCACCATATTTTGTTTGTTGTCTTTTATATTTCTTTGATAAATTGTTACGGCATTTCACAGTGTCTTGTGGGATCTCCTGCCGGAGAATCCCAGAAGACCTCTAAAAGGAATTCACAATGTCAACACTTTTTCTAATAATAACAAAATGTTATTTGTCTTATGGACTCTCAGCTTCTCATGATTAGACAGTGTTTTCAAGAGACTGCATAATATGTACTATCACAACAGATTGAATGCAGAAACAAGTATGAGAACCCATCAGTCCTCTGTTAAGATAGGCATTAAAGAGATTTGCAGAAATATAAAACAATATTCTCTTCTCATTATTTTTGTTTTAAAAAACGTAGTTTTTAAAAATAAAATTGTGCTAACCTATAATAGGTTTATTTTTATTTTTGAAAGAATGAATAAGTATTTAAATGATTTCTGTATATTTTCTAGTATACATCTTTATTTTAATGTTTAATATAGTAACATTCTCAGTTTTAATTTCAAATACTGTACAATTTTTGTTAATTTATAATAAGATAAATATCTAATAGGTATATTCTCATAAATAAAATTTCTTTGAGTTCTGTAATACTTATAAGAATGTTAAACCTGTTACTTAGGCAGTATCACAGCTCACTACAGCCTCAAACTCCTGGGAGGATCAAGTGATCCTCCCACCTCAGCCTCCTGAGTAGCTAAGACTACAGGCTTGCATCAGTATGCCTAGCTTATTTATTTTTATTTTTTGTAGAGATGGGTCTTGGTATGTTGCGTAGGCTGTCCATGAATGTAACCTATTTTTAAAGGATATTTTACAATAATTTATGACAATATGCTTAACGATATACTCTTCTTTCATTTTTTTTTTCTTTCAGGTTTGTTTTCTGCCCTAGACAGTCATTCAAATTTGGGTATCATTTCTTATGGCGTTTCCATGACGACTTTGGAAGATGTATTTTTAAAGCTAGAAGTTGAAGCAGAAATTGACCAAGCAGGTAAAAACAGGACTAACAAAACATTTTAGACAATGAACCAGACAGATGGTGAATAAGACAAAAATTATATAAATGCGAACTTGATATTATTTTTGGGAAGAAGGGGTAGAAATAAATAACTAAATAAGTAATGAGATACTGATAGTGATAGGAGTTATGCAGGAAATAATGGGGTGGTCTTAGAAGGCAGTGAACTTAGATTATATCATCAGGAAGGACTTTGTTGAGATGATACTTGACCTGAGTCCTGGATAACAAAAAAATCAAGTAGGTGAAGATTTTAGGGCAGAAATTTTAGATAAAGAGAACTGCAACTGCAAAGTGATTAACTGAGGAATGAGTTGGATGTCTTTGAGGGATACAAAAAGGCCATTGTGGCTGGTGCTATGGTGGAGATATTACACAACCAAGTCAGGAGGATACTCAGAGGGCTAGATCATGTTTTGCCTTTGAACACCTGGAAAACAATTTCATTTGTTTTCTGATTGTAGTGTGAAGCTATCAGAGAGCTTTAAAGCAAATAGGTAACATGATCTGATTTGAATTTTTAAAAAATACATTCTGGTTGTTGAATGATGAGAGGATTGTAAAGGAAGTGTGGAAGTAGTAAGACCAGTTAGGAAACTGTTATAATTAATACTACCTTGAACTACAGTGGTAGTGAAAATAGGGAGGCCAGGTGCAGTGGCTCATGCCTGTAATCCCAGCACTTTGGGAGGCCAAGGCAGGGAGATTTCTTGAGCCTAGGAGTTCCAGACCAGCCTTGGCAACATAGCAAAACCTTATCTTTACAAAAAAACACAAAAAATTAGCCAGGTGTGGTGATGTGTGCCTGTAGTCCCAGCAACTCCAGAGACTGAGATGGGAGGATTACCTGAGCCCAGGAGGTCAATCGTACAGCAAGCCATGGTTACACCACTGCACTCTAGCCTGAGCATCAGAAAGAGACCATGTTTCAAAGAGAGAGAGAGAGAGAGAGAGAGGAAGGAGGGAGAGAGGGAGGGAGGGACAGAGAGAAAGAATATGGAAAGAACAGATTTGGGCTATATTGGTGGTAGTGGTGATGAGTTGCTGATAGATTGAGTGTTAGGGGTTCAGGACAGGGTAGAATGAAGAATAACCTATGCCCTTTGCTTGAGAAGTGGGAATGAGATTGCCATTTCCTGAAAATAGGGGAAAAATAGGTTTGTGGAAAGAAGCAATGCAGGCATGAATTTGTTTTTTCTTTTTTCTTTTTTTTGAGATGAAGTCTTGCTCTGTCACCCAGGCTAGAGTGCAGTGGTGCAATCTTGGCTCACTGCAACCTCTGCCTCCCAGGTTCAAGCGATTCTCCCTGCCTCAGGCTGCTGAGTAGCTGGGATTACAGGTGCCCGCCACCATGCCTGGCTAATTTTTTTATTTTTTAGTAGAGATAGGTTTTGCCATGTTGGTCAGGTTGGTCTTGAACTCCTGACCTCAGGTTATTTGCCTGCTTCAGCCTCCCCAAGTGTTAGGATTACAGGCGTCAGCCACTGCGCCTGGCCCAGGCATGAATTTTGACTTTATTGTTTGAGATCCTTCTGGAGCTAAATGAACATGTTAGGGCCGAAGATACAGATTTGGAAGTTACTCATAGATAGTTGGTGCTATGGAGTTGAATGAAATCTCTTAGTTGGGTAGGGAGTATAGATAAGAATTGAGGGTAATGACCTCTGGGTAAGCAGTGGAGGAGGAGCCAAAAAGGGCTGACCATGAATGAGCAATTATTACTCTACTTTTTTATGAAAGAGTAGAAATGCAAAATCCTAGAAAAATGATGTTTTTGGGAAGAGGAAGTGGTGAGTTATTTGTCGATTGCTGTGAAGAATAAGATGAGGACCAAAAAGGTAGGTTTGGTAACGTAGAAGACAGTGAGGGATTTGGTAGAGTGTAAGAGTGGTGATCTTGACAGATCAATTTCATGAGGCATTAGGAACAAAGTTGATCTGTGTAGTTTATGGTGAGAACATGAGTTGAGGAAACTTTCTTATGATCAAAGGTTAGCAAAATGTTTGTGGTGGTAGGTGAGGATAGCGAAGGAAACTAGAATGTTAGTTCACAGTTGTTAAAAGAGTTGAGATGCTGCAAATACACATTTTGCATGAATGCTGAGTGGCTGATGATTAAAATCGTTGTGAGACCAAAATCAAGAATCAAGCTGAATATATCATCATGAAGTAAGTTTGCATTATATTATGCTAAACTAAATGTGTAACTTAAAAAAAATTAGTAGAATTTAATTATTCATAGTTTGGTAGTCAAATTTTAAAAGATTGACCTTATTGTGTGGGAACAATAATTTGTTAACATTGCTAACTGTAAAGTTGCTCCTGTAGTCCTATGTTTATGATACCAGATGCTCACTTTCAACTGTAGTGAGGAGAAGCCATGTTTTTTTGAGTTCTTAATTTTTCTTTTGTTATAATGTCTGGATCAAAGAAGATTTATCTGAAAATTAATGTATGTGATTTTGTAGTTTCTCCTTCTTTTGAAATTTTTAAATGATGGAAGTTGGCATTCCGCTTTTAGTTCACCCTCACAAATTGTGGAAGAATCCAAAATAAAACTTTTTTATTGAAGGTATTATGGCCTTAATGGAATTCAATAACTAAAAAAGAAGTAGGTCTCCCAAATTTGTTTTAATACCATCAATATTAGTATACTGAACAACTACATAAAAATTATATAGTCTTATTTCTTTTTATATTATTATCTAAATTACAAATATATGTATTGGCCCAAAAGTTATAATGTTCTTCCTGAAGTCATCTAACTAGTACATTCTCTTTAATATTTTCATTAACTGTCAGTGTCTTTCTGCATCTAAAGTTCTGAATGTCTGTTTTTGAGTTTAAAATAAACCTCAATTGTGTAGTATTTTATTCTTGCCATTAAGTAAATATGTGTTTATGGTTTAATTGGTAGAATTTTATAAAGTACATAAATACATTTTTATTCCAAATGCATTTGGAATGATTGAAATGAATATTAAATATTAAAATGAAATCTGAATGACTTACCTTATTCACATTACTGAATTTGTTATACCTCTTAAGTATTGGGCTAATAATATGATCACACTGTCATTGATCATGTACAACCTCAGTAATGCCAAGAAATTATACTGAAGTAGGCGTTTGGCTCTTAATACCTCCAAAGATTAAAGACGAAGCTGAAGAGCAGAATTTGGCTGAAAACTGAACCTGAGGCCAAGTTTTAATTGAGAAGTAATGTAAAGCCAGGAGAGGACTTTGAAACATGGAAATAAGAGAGAAGTCTAGTGTATGTCAGGACATGATGTTAGGTTATAGCCAGAGAGGAAAAGTTCACATAAAAAGTTGGATATTGTACAGATACAGAGATAATAAGATCTTAAATATGGACATGCATCCAGTTTGTTTTTGAACTAGTGGAATTATACCATGTGTCTCTTTTGCATTTGTCTTCTTTTACTCAATGCTTTGTTTACTCAATATTATATTTGTCCTCTTTTACTCAATAATATGTTTATTCAATATTATATTGTTATGGATACATTAGTTTGTTTACTTCCATTAGTTTACACTATTTTGTTATATTCCTGTGTCACAATTATTCATTCATTTACCTGTCAAGAGACATTTGGTTTCTTTCCGGGGTATGGGTATTCCAGATAGGGCTGTACTAAGAATATTTTTGTACATGTGTTTTGGAGAAACCTATATTCATATCTCTGTTGCGTTCATACCTATTGGGAATCTCTTGAGTCATAAGATATGCATATGTTCAGCTTTAATAGATACTGCAAGAATATACGAAAGTTCTGTTTGTTCCACATAACTGCCAGACCTATGCTTCTTTAAATTTTCCTGCATCAGAAAGATTTTATTTTTTAAAATGAATATACTGAAATGTTTGTTTTGTTTTGGGAAATAGATTATAGTGTATTTACTCAGCAGCCACTGGAGGAAGAAATGGATTCAAAATCTTTTGATGAAATGGAACAGAGCTTACTTATTCTTTCTGAAACCAAGGCTTCTCTAGTGAGCACCATGAGCCTTTGGAAACAACAGATGTATACAATAGCAAAGTTTCATTTCTTTACCTTGAAACGTGAAAGTAAATCAGTGAGATCAGTGTAAGTATAATTATCACTTATACTTGGTGAATTGTTTTTTAAGGATGCGAATTGGATTTACCATCTTAATTTTTAAAATGTTAACATATGTAAATAATTTATGTAGTTTTAAAAGATTACCACTATAATTTCACAGTGTTAGAGAAAATAAATTACAATCATTTCATCAAATACCCTGTCTTGCACTTTACAAACTAGCATTTATTGTCTCATCTATAAAGTGAGGAAATAACAAATATTCCATAATTGTATAATTTTTGAATTACTGTCATTGTATCTTTTTCTTTCTTTCACCTGGGAGCACAGATTCAAGTTTCCCTGAATATAGTAATACACTCCCTATTGTATCTTAAATTTTATTTTGCATTTCTATTTTTTCACTATTTTTTGCATCGACTAGTTAGTTTTTATAACTACTTTTTGTAAATAGCAGGAAAAATGAGTTTTATCTCTTTATCATATGAAGAAACTGAAAAATAAAGAAGGCTCTGTGGCTAGTAGATCTAGGATCAAAATGACATCTTTGACTTCTTCTTAAGTTAGCTTTAGCCTTTCTCAGTTAGGTTCTCCTAGGGTACTAGGCGCTAAATTATTTGGAAATAACATTAACCACTTTCATATACCACACACCTATCTTGTTAGGTCGAAAATGCTAGTAGTAATAAGGCTTAATAAGAATAAGAATATTGTTATATATTTGAAATATGCTAAATTTATATGCTCTTCTTTGACCAAATTCATTGTCAAACAAATGTCACATATCTGATTTATTCTTGTGTCCACGTTACTGAAAGAAAAATGTTTATTTAAATCAGCATATTTCAGTTTATTTAATTGAATACTACTCTCATAAAATAGTGTCTGAAAAATAATTAAAATACCTTATTCAGCTTTGACTGCCATAACAAAATACTGTTTACTTGGTGGTTTAAACAGAATAAATTTATTTTCTCACAATTCTTATGGCTGAAGGTATGAGATGAGAGTGCCAGCATGGTAAGGGCTTTCTTCCTGGCCTGCACCATCTCACTGTGCGCTCACATGACCTCTTTGTGTACACTGGCATGCATTCTCTGGTGTCTCTTTTTATAAATGTACTAATTCTATCATGAAGACCCCACCCTCATGACCCCATCTAAGGTAAATTACTTTTCAGAAGTCCCATTTCCAAACATCATCATATGGGAGTTAGGACTTCAACATATAAATGTGAGGAGGCACATTCAATCCATAACAAAATGTGTTCTATGGTCAAATACATTTAGGAAATATTCCTCTTCTATTCCCTGTATTAAAGAGTTATTCATTAGCATAGAAAAACACATGAGATGTTCTGTGGTAAAGAAATTCCTTCAACTTTGTTTAACCTCATGTTTCCAAGGATTATGTAATCATGAATATCTTTTAAATCACTTCTTATTATGAAGTTGGATCAATGTCATATCCTTGTGAAATGTTATCTTAGATATACTTACAACAATTTAAGAAATATTTAAAAAAATTATGGGGTATGTAAAAATTATAAATTAGTAAAGCATGATGATCTAAGCTCTCTAACCACTTGTTAGGACACTTACTGCATGTAATATAGAGATATTTCAGCAGATAAGTAGCTGCCCTCCAGATACAAGGGCATTGTAGTATACCTTGCTTTGCCTCCTGAGAGCAGCAATGGCAATGAATATCATAAAATTGTGATCAGGATGAAATTTCAAAGATACCAGTCATTCAAAGATTAATTATATTTTTATTTGCTTCTCTATATCTAAAATATTTTTGTTGTTACATGTAAAGTAAATGGGAATGGGCACAGTGGCTCACGCCTGTAATTCCAGCATTTTGGAAGGCTACGGCAGGTGGATCACTCGAGGCCAGGAGTTTGAGACCAGCCTGGCCAACATGGCGAAACCCTGTCTCTACTGAAAATACAAAAATTAGCTGGATGCAGTGGCACGTGCCTGTAGTACCACCTACTTGGGAGGCTGCAGCATGACAATTGCTTAAACCTGGGAGGCAGAGGTTGCAGTGAGCTGAGATCACACCACTACACTCCAGAACAAGACTCTGTCTCAAAAATATAAGAAATAAATGGTTAAGATAGAGACAGGACAGGAAGTAATTCCTTGAGGAGTAGAGACAAATATTTGAGACATAATGTCTTGTGCTTTAACAGTTATAACTACGTGTTTACATAGTCTATCAAAATTTAAGGGTATCACTGATCTAAAATATACTTTTATAACTTTTAGTTTTGTCAGACAGTATTGGCTTTCTCTCCAATATTGTCATAAGATCATTTTGGGGAATAGAATTTCATTTTTTTTTTTTTCAGTTTTTTCTTTCTTTTTTTCAGTGATTATCTTTTAACTATCTAGAGTTAAAATCTATACCAATGTAGGCTGGGTGAGGTGTCTCACATCTGTAATCCCAGCACTTTGGGAGGTTGAGATGGGCAAGATCCTTGTTTGAGCGCAGGAGTTCAAGACCAGCCTCGGCAACATGGTGAAACCCTATCTCTACAAAAAAATATCAAAAATTAGTTGTGTGTGGTTATGTGTGCCTGTAGTCCCAGCTATTAGGAGGCTGAGGTGAGAAGATCTCTTGAGCTGGGGAGGCAGAGGTTACAGTGAACTGAGATCACGCCACTACATTCCAGCCTGGATGACAGAGCCAGACCCTGTCTCAAAAAAAAAAAAAAAAAATTCTCACTCATAGGCGGGTGTTGAACAATGAGAATACATGAGCACAGGGAGGGGAGCATCACACAGTGGGGTCTGTTGGGGGGACTAAGGGAGGGACAGTGGGGGGTAGGGAGATTGGGGAGAGAAAACATGGGATGAAATGCCAGATATAGGTGACAGGGGAATGGAGGCAGCAAACCATATTGACATGTATGTACCTATGCAACAATCCTGTATGATCTGCACATGTACCACAGAACCTAAAGTACCATAATATATATAATACAAAATATAATCATAAAAATATATTTATATATATATATATATATATATATATATATGAAAATCCATCTCAATGTGAAGGGAGAGTTTTAATTGATTTTTATATTAATGTACCTTTGTACACTGAGCTGTGTTTTGTTTTTTCCTTTTCAGGTTGCTTCTGCTTTTAATTTTTTTCGCAGTTCAAATTTTTATGTTTTTGGTGCATCACTCTTTTAAAAATGCTGTGGTTCCCATAAAACTTGTTCCAGACTTATATTTCCTAAAACCTGGAGACAAACCTCATAAATACAAAACAAGTCTGCTTCTTCAAAATTCTACTGGTGAGAGTGTGTGAAGGTCTGTGAATGAGTGTTGGGCATGGAGCATGGGGTTGAGGGGTGGATAAAGGTCTGGATTTTATAAATATATTTAAGGTACAGGCATGATCTGTTTGCGTGAAATCTAAATTGTGTAATACATATCTTTGATGCAGAAGAATATTTTATAGTAAATTTTGGTTTACAAATAAATGACAATTTTGGTTGGGCACAATGGCTCATACCTATAATTCCAGCATTTTGGGAGACTGAGGCAGGTGGATTGGATTACCTGAGGTCAGGAGTTCAAGACTAGCCTGTGCAAGAAACCCTATCTCTACTAGAAATACAAAAATTAGCCATGTGTGGTGGCATGCGCCTGTAGTCCCAGCTACTTGGGAGGCTGAGGCAGGATAATCGCTTGAACCTGGGAAATGGAGGTTGCAGTGAAAAAAGATTGTGCCACTGCATTCCAGCCTAGTCAACAGAGGGAGATTCCACCTCAAAAATAAATAAATAAATAAACAAATAGTTTTTAAAAATACTCTATACTGTGTATAATAGTAAATTTTCCTTTTTTAGTAATTATGTTATTCTTATCAGCATGTTTTGTCTCAAAGCTCATGATGAGCAAAATATACTTCAAAAGTTGAAAAATCCTCTTTACAAAGAATTAATGTACATAATATTTATAAAGATATGTGTCTACATAGAAGTGTTTAAATAATTCTTCAAGAACAGTCTGAAGAATTAGTTAAAATGAAGAAAATAAGACAAATATAAATATCTCTAATTGAATACATTAGATTTGTAATGGATATTTTTGGCTTTGCTATCTTACTATATAATTGTCAAATATGAAAAAAATTTAGACATACAGACTTGAGCAAAGCTCAAAACAAAAAACTGATGTAGTGTCCTGATTTTCAAAATATTAAAACCTAATACAAAACTTATTTATATATGATCAGTTGTTATTATAACATCTCCTGTGACAAACTCTTTGGGGTTTAGCCTTTCTATCACTTCACCTACAATTCTAGTATTATTCCTTTTTGATTCACTGATTCAAAAAGGATTTTGTCCGGTATTAAAATAACAAGCATGACTAGGAATGATTATAAATTAATATTAAAATCATCACTGTTAAAATCTAGTGCTTGTTATATTACATAACTTTCATTCTTTTTGGTAAAGATGCATTTATTAATGGAAAATTACTCGAATAGAAAATATTAGGTTTTGTAATTTTTTTCTTTCAATAGGAATTCTTGTTTTCTTTTTAAAATACATTTTATGTCGCTAAATATACTGCATGAAACCTTAACTCATGACATTTTTTATGTGTGTCTAGGGAACTGTACAGGTATCTCAAATCTTTCTTTCTTTCTTTTTTTTTAAAGACCTTGGCTTGAAATCAAATCTCTTTGCTTTGAGTTCATTCTCACTGATTTGCAGAAATTCTAGTATTTTCAGTTCATCTCTTTCATTATGTTTTGTTATTCTTAGAGTTGCTTGCTTGTGCATGCCATGTTTTCCTAAGCCTTGTGTCTGTTCCAAAATAAAACCACTTTTTTTTAAACCACTCGCTCCTGTGTGTATATGTGTTGGGTGCTATCTTACCCACCTTGCAGAGCTTTTTGTATCTCTTGTGCTGGTTCTTTCACTTATAACGTATCTCTCTTCTCAGGGTACCTAGCTGTTCTTGCAAGTTAGAGATAAGAGATCAGTTAAGGTACTAGGTTGGGAGTAAAGTAGTGTAACTATTTTCTATGACACTCAGATTTGGTGCTGTGTCTGATTCACCCTGCCATACTGTTTAGTTACTAGTTCTATTTTGCTTCGTTTGATTTAAATTTCTCTTAAAGTCGCATTTGTCTTTCCCTGAATCCAGTTTTTGTTATGATAGAGGAGAAACTGCATCTATTCAGTAGACATGTTGGTATACATTTAAATCCCAGACAGGATTTAAAATCTTATCCTTGGCTCCAGGTACTTTGGAGAATGTATAGAGACCTGATTATGTATTTGAATATTTTAAGGTAATTAAGGCAATTGACATGTCTGCCCAGAGCACACAAATTCCTCTAGGGAGTGATGTTACCACACCTTAGCCTATATCTTTCTGAGCTTAACAAGTTTTCTTGTTACCTAAAATTGTTAGATTTTTATTCTTATTATTTAAGCAAATTTCATGTTTTATAGGTTAACTTTTCAGAGTTAATAATTGTTGCAGCAGTAGCAGCAGCGGCAGCTAAAATGTGCACAGTTACTATGTGTCAGGTTCTAAACCCTGTGTATATATTCAGTGTAATTCTCATGATCACTCTCTGAGGCAGATATGCTTATTTTACCCACTTTACAAAAGAGGAAACTTAAGGTCCAGAGCATCTAGGTAACTTGCTTGAAGGAGAGATAGTTTAAATGGTACTTTTAAAACTATTTAAAAAGTTTTAAAACCAGGCTGACTGGCTTCAGAGCCAAATGTACTTACTTGCATATTCACTAATGAAAATAAAATATTTCTCTAAAAATAGAATGATTTTCCCATTGTTACTAAAAAACCTTGTTTAAACTCATTCTTTATTATTTGCTTATTTTCTAACACCAGACTCAGATATCAGTGATCTTATTAGCTTTTTCACAAGCCAGAACATAATGGTGACGATGTTTAATGACAGTGACTATGTATCTGTGGCTCCTCATAGTGCAGCTTTAAATGTGATGCGTTCAGAAAAGGTAAGATAAATGCAGTGAATGAATATCCATTTGGGAGTTATACAAGATTAAAACATTTCTTCTAAAATTAATTATTTGCTGATTTGCATTTATGAGTTAGAAATTAGATTTAACTTTTGGAAGTAACTAGCTGTCTTTATTTATGATATATTTCATTCCCCCACAAATGACCAATAAATAAAGCTATAGGAATTTAGTTTTTAAAAAATATGATATGCTTGCTTAAAATATTAAAATATCTGTACATTCCAAACCAGATTGTCTTTATCTATCATTGGGTATTATTTCTGTGAGTTGTTGAAGCAGTTTTTCAGCATGAGCATTAGCTTTGTAGGTGAGAAAAGCTTGGTACATAGCAATAATATATCCACTTATATTTATATACAGTATGTAACGTGTCTTTTTTTTTAATTTTAGGACTATGTTTTTGCAGCTGTTTTCAACAGTACTATGGTTTATTCTTTACCTATATTAGTGAATATCATTAGTAACTACTATCTTTATCATTTAAATGTGACTGAAACCATCCAGATCTGGAGTACCCCATTTTTTCAAGTAAGCCAAAGTAATACAGATAAATTTTCATATGCATATCATATATATAATAATAAACTTTAAAAATCTAGCAAAATAACAAAGTATGTAGAAATTTATCTTGTGAGATCTTAGTCTTCTTAAAACTCAAGTGAGAAATGGTTTATATTAAGGTTTATGATTTCCCAGTATAAGTATGTTTAAGGGTAAAGGGCATTCTGTTTTGGTATTGATTTTTTTATAAGGCATAAGTGTGTTCAGTATTGATCATAGAATAAAATATATGATAATTTTTAAATGAATATTTTTTTATCTGAAATCCAGATATTAGGGCATTGAAAAAACTGAGAAGTCACCCAGACAACCATTTTTTCTCTAGATAGAACTATTGGATTGTACATATCAGAATCAAGACTACAGAAAAATATTCAATTTTTTTTCTTAATCCTTTGGATTTTCATATGCTAAAAAATAAATGGACAAGTATCTGTAACAATATTTTCTATTTTCTCCTGTCATACTTTTAAAGACAACTTCATTGAAATAGAATGCCCAATCTACCTGACCATTATTTAAAGTATGGACCTCAGTGTTTTTTACTGTGCTCATAGAGTTGTGCAGTCATCACTAGAGTCAGTTTTAGATATATACCATTGCCTCCCTGAAACCCTTATACCCATTAGTAGTCACTCATTTCCTCCCATACCTACCCCCAACCCTAGGCAACCACTAATGTGTACTTTCTGTATCTATGGATTTCCTTATTTTAGACATTTTATATAAATGGAATCATACAATATGTACTCCATTTTGTCTGCTTTCTTGTTCTTAGTATACTGCTTTGAAGATTCATCCATGTTGTAACATGTATCAGTACTTCATTTATTTTTACTACCAAATGATATTTCATTGTGTGGAACGTATGGAATGTTTATGTGAAATACTGCATTCTATTTATCCATTCATCAGTTGATGGCATTTGCATTGTTTTCACCTTTTGGCTATTATGAGTAATGCTATGAATATTTGAGTACAAGATTTTGTATGAGCGTATGTTTTTTTCTTGGATGTATAGCTAGCAGTGGAATTGCTAGATCATCTAGTAACTCTATGTTTAACATTTTGAAGAACTGCCAAATTGCTTTCCAAAATGGTTGCATCATTTTCCATTTCTAGCAGCAGTGTGTGTGGAGAGGTATCTCATTTTCATTTTGATTTGCATTTCCTTAGTGGCTGATGATGCTGAGAATCTTTTTAGGTGCTTATATCTTTGAGAAATGTCTGTTCATTTTCCCATTTAAAAATTTTATTATTTGTCTTTTCCTGATTAGATTTATAGGAGTTTTTTATATTTTCTAGATACAACTCCTTTATCAGACACATGATTTGCAGATGTTTTTTTCCCAACCTGGGGTACCTCTTCACTTTCTTGATAGTGTCCTTTGAAGTACAAGTTTTTAATTTTGAGGAAACTTAATTTATTCTTTTTTCTTTCATTGCATCTGCTTTTGGTGTCATTAACTAAGAAATCTTTGTCTAACCCAAGGTAAAAAAAAGGCTTACTGCTACATTTTTGTCTCAGAGTTATAGTTTTAGCACTTATATTTAGGACTATGATCCATTTGCAGTTAATTTTTGTGTTTTATATAAGGAGGGATTCTAACTTTCTTGTTTTCCACATGGATATCCAGTTGTCCAAGCATGTCTTACACTCTAAAAATGTTTTTGTGTGTATGTAGTCATAATTCTTTTCTTCAAACTAAAACACTGATTAAACATATCAATTCCTATGAAATTTGTTTACCCAAACTTATATTTTTCCTTTACTTGTTTCTTCTATCATGTTGAATCTTTGAGTCATTCTGCCAAGCCCTTTATAAATTACTGTTTTTTTCCTCCAGAGTGTTTCTTTATTTTTAAGATGGAGTCTTGCTTTGTCACCCAGACTGGAGTGTGGTGGCACAATCTCAGCTCACTGCAGTCTCCGCCTCCTGGGCTCAAGCAGTTGTCCTGCTTAGCCTTCCAAGTAGCTGGGACTATAGGCACATGCCACCATGCCCAACTAATTTTTTTTTTTTTTTTTGTATTTTTAATAGACGAGGTTTCACCATGTTTACCAGGCTGGTCTCAAACTCCTGACCTTGGGTGATCCTCCTGCCTTGGCCTCCCAAAGTTCTGTGATCACAACTGTGAGCCACCACACCTGCCAGAGTATTTAAAATAATAGTTTTTTTCCTCCCTTTATCTTTATGTTTTAAAAATCCATGTTATTATATTGTCATAATATTATACCATTATATTGTTCACTATAATTCTCATTTTCTTAATCGGCTGTTTTTAAATGTACTTTGCTTTACTATATGTTCAAAGACGATGCAGCATATCATTTTCAATAATCCTTGACCACTTCTCTTAATATTAATTAACTGATTAATTAATTCAGACACACTTACTATACTTATTGAGTGCTTATGGTAGCTAGGTACCTTACTAATGTTTGGATTACATCAGTGAAAAAGGGACTAAGATGTTTATTGAATAGGGGAGAAAACAGACAAATAAGCAAGTGATGATAATATAGTGTGAAAAGTGCTTTACTGTAATAAGGATAATATTTGAGATAAGAAAAACTAACGTGTTTTTTCTACTTTCACACACTCAACACAGCACTTCCGACACTAGACCTGTGAGAGTCTTTCCCCACATGCCAAGCAATTCTCCCGCAGACACCAGCTGTGTGTCCTATAGTTGAATTCAATTCTGACACTGTCTACTTGGTGATAGTATCAGATCCCACAGGTTAAGGGCTCAGTCAGATTCCAATCCTAATCCTCAGTTTGCGATCTGTGTTTCTTACTAACCTGCTATAAATTGGGAGCTCTCGTGATGTCCTTCTCAGGTTTGATTAGTTGACTAGACTGGCTCACAGAACTCACAGAACAATTTACTTATGTTTATTGGTTTATTAATAAAGATTATAATAAAGGGTGCAGATGAGCAATGAGGTGAAGTGATACACATGGCAAGGTCTGGAAGGGTCCTAAGCACAGAAGCTTCTATTCCCATGGAGTTGAGTTGCTCCACCTTCTTGGTATGCAGATGAAGTTGGGTTGTAGGAGAGGAAAGAAAGTTCAGGCCGGGCGTGGTGGCTCACGCCTGTAATCCCAGTACTTTGGGAGGCCGAGGCGGGTGGATCATGAGGTCAAGAGATCGAGACCATCCTGGTCAACATGGTGAAACCCCATCTCTACTAAAAATACAAAAAATCAGCTGGGCATGGTGGCGCATGTCTGTAATCCCAGCTAGTCAGGAGGCTGAGGCAGGAGAATTGCCTGAACCCAGGACGCGGAGGTTGCGGTGAGCCGAGATTGCGCCATTGCACTCCAGCCTGGGTCACAAGAGTGAAACTCCGTCTCAAAAAAAAAAGAAAGTTCAATAAATCGGATTAGAGATTCTTTTTAAATAAATAGTTCATATGAGAAGGGCTGATGGGTGTCTGAGTTAATGCAGCAACATTAGCATTCATGATAGAGGGTTATTAAAAAAGTAAGTGGCATAACTTGATCACTGTTGCATTTGTGAGATGAAGAAGAGGAAAGAGTATAAAATTTTTTGCTTTTAGACAATGTGATACATGGTATTATCATTGACCAATTTTAAGAATATAGGCAGAAGAGAGATTTTTGTTTTGTTATACTGGAATTGAAGTACTCATTTTGGTTTGAATCTACTGAATTGGTTGTCTTTGTGGCATTTTCCTGATAGACATTTAATAAATATTTTGTGTATATGAACCTGGAGAGATTTCTGGACAGTAAACAAGTACTTATGAGTCACCAATGCATATTGATACTGATATCATCAAAGTTGTAGATCATTTCTCACGATGTTTTTATTATGAAATAATTTAAACCTACAGAAAATGAACCACCTACTATCTAAATATTTCAAATGTTAACATTGCATAATATTTGTTTTTCATAAAACTTTAAAGATACAAGTGGAAACTCATATTACCCCTCTCCAATCTTGCTTCTTTCTGTCCTCTGTAGAAGTAAACACAATTCACAATTTATAATTCCCATACATGTTTTTATGACGTTACTACATATGTCTGTATACTTAACTATTACCCAAGATTTTGCAACTTACAATTTTCATCAGACACTGACATATAATCATACTATATATTGAAAGAAATAAATGGGAGTTTTTAGAGCTAACTATTCATAAATATAGTACCATTAATATTTCAAATTTCTTTCTTCCTTCATTAGATTCTGTATGATTGGATACAATTGTAGTCTCATTCATTTCCACTTCTTGCACTACTTAGTTTACATATTTATGGGTTCTTTGTGGGCCTTCCACTGTCATATTACCAGAGTTTGGGACAAATTCTGCAATGCCATATGACCTGAACTATGGAATTGACTTTATTGCTAAATAGAAAAACTCAGAAGGTCAGGTTCAACAAGACAGTGATGTACTCTGTTTCCTAGGCACTGTGGGTTCTATTCCAGTGCAGAGTACCTTCTCTGTCCCATGGGTACATATTCTTATAGAACAATGGGAGGAAACTGACCTTGGTGAGGTTGGGCAATAATGTAGTATCCATGGACCTGGGTAATCTGCATTTGAAGTGCTAGCTGTCTATTGATTGTCTGGGAAAGTTAGCTGACTGCACCTGGATCCCTGGGGCAAGCTAGGGACATTGGGGCCTGTGGGAGTTAAATTCTCTTCTGCTTGGGAGAAGAAGTTCTGATTCCCATAGGGAGCTGAGCTTGGATATAGCTTTTCCCAATGGAGAAAACGAGAGTCCCAAGACAATAAAGAGCAAAAAATACCATTCTTAGATAATTATTATCATTGCATAGGACCGCTATAGTGGACATACTAATTGCTTTTCAAATACATCATTCAGTTTTATTAAATTGTGAAGCTTAATTTATATGCCAGATTATTTTCTGTTGTAGATACGAAATGATTTGCTCAGGATCAGATAGTTATTAGTAAGTGGCAGGGCTGGTAATATTGTCCACCGCCACCTGTTAATACATCTGCCACTCATTCTTTCATATAGACTATGCCTGGGTTAGGTATTCTAATATGTTCTTTCTGAGGTTTTGATTTTTTTAAGTATATATTAAGATATGAAATGATTCTCAGTTCCATTTGTTATTCTGTGGTTGTCTTTCAGGAAATTACCGACATAGTTTTTAAAATAGAGCTGTATTTTCAAGCAGCTTTGCTTGGAATCATTGTTACTGCAATGCCACCTTACTTTGCCATGGAAAATGCAGAAAATCATAAGGTAATGACTCAGTTAAAATATATATAATTTGCTACCAAGAAATGTCATATAAGAATAACCTATTTGCATAATTGCAAGCCTTAGTGTAATTATTATTTTAGAAAAAAGTAAATGGAGTATAAATACATTTATTATAATTTCTTATTATAGTAACAGTGATAACTAATATTTATTACTTGAGACTTGCTGTATGCTTTAAAAATTATATTCTGTAATTCTCTCAACATTGTGAGGAAGGTTTTTTGTTATCAATTGCTTATAGATCAGGATATCAAAGATGAGATTGTTCATATGACTTGACTCAACTTGTTTAAATTGTGGATTTGGGAACTGACTATGGTCTTCATGTTCTTAACTGGTGTATTCATGTGCCTGTGCTCTTTATCCTTTAACAGAGGTATGAAGTAGTCAAGTCACTTAATTCTCATTAACTGAAAAAAAAAAAAAAAAAAAAGGTGAAAGTGGTTGTCATCATTAGGGCCTTGGAGAAATTGCTAAGTATACAGAAGTTCTTTGATATTCTTTTACTTTCTTTTTATGGCTTTCCCTTTTGTTTTCCTTCAGGCATATAGCGATCTTGTATAGTCTTTGGCTGTTCAAAGCCTTCTACTCTTTCACACTGCTGAGATTGTATCTTACTTCTCTAATAAAAATTCTTATTTTCTTCATGTATGATCTTCATTCAGTAAAAACAAATTTGTCTAGAATGATTTACAGACTATGATGAATAATGAATTCATTATTTTAATGATTCTAAATAAATAAATATTTTGTTATTAATTTGTTTAGTATAAAAGTAACATGTCTATTTTTAAAATAATATTCCATTTTTGTTATAAATATACTCATTGTAACTTAGAAATTATAGAAAAGTGGAAGGAATATAGAAATCTGTAACCTACTGCATAATAATGAAATTTACTGGACATTTGCATTTTTTTTGTTTCAACTGAAATAGTTTTAATTAAACTTTTATTTTGAGATAGTTGTATATTCATGTTTGTTAGAAATGACAGAGACATCCTGTATACTCTTTACATTTTATCCCAAATATCACTGGGATAACATCTTGTAAAATTATAGTACAATATAACAGGATATTGGCATTGATACAGTACATTTTTGTCACCAGAAAGATTCCCATATTTTGCCCTTTCTTAATCTCTCTGACCTGTGGCAACCACTAATCTGTTCTCTATTTCTGTAATTTTGATAGTTCAAAAATGTAAAATGATGTCACAGTAAGTTTTCTTTGGGGATTGGCTTTTTTCAACTAGCATTTTTTTTTTTTTTTGAAATTTATCCAATTTAGATGTATCAATGGTCCATTCCTTTTTATTGCTGAGTACTATTCCATGGTATGGATACATCACACTTTCTCTAACCATTTGCTTATTGAAGAACATTTGGATTACTTTCTGTTTTTGGCTATTGTGAATAATGTTGCCATGGATATTTGTATACAGGTTTTGTGCAAACATAAGTTTTCATTTCTCTGGGATAAATGCCCAAGAGTGCAATTGCTGAATTATAACATGTTTAGTTTTATAAGAAATTGCCAAATTATTTTCCAAGATGAGTATTCCATTTTACATTATCCCTACCAGCAATGTATGAATAATGAAAGTTTGAATTATTAAAAAATACTTTCATTTGCCTTGGCTTATGTTTTTATCCTTGTATTAGAATTTACATGTGTCTCATGTTCTCATAATTCATTGAACATAAAACTTGCCAATTTTGTTCACTTCTCTTCTTAACTAATCTTTATATTTCTTGCTTTATCTCACTCTGTGGACAGCTCTTTCATATAATACCTTTAGTTGTTAGGAGTAAATACTTTTATAAATGACAAAAATCAACTGCATAAGATTGTTAGGTATTTAAGTTTGTGAAATATTTTAGAAATTTCAAATTAAATGAGAACATGAGATACGAAAACTGTGATCATTTAAGTTTACCATTAACAAACTTGCGATGTAAATAACACCTTAGATTTTTGTACTATACCGGTGTATATAAAAGGCTTTCAAAGTTTCAAAAGCTTTCACTTAAGCTGAAAGCCCTATGTAAATCCAAAGGATATTTTGGCAATTTATTAGTGTTTTAATGAAAGGCTTATTTTTAAAAATGAGAATTCTTTTCCTGTGTAAACATATTTTCCTGTCTATTTGTGAAGTATTTCAAAAGAAGTAATGTTTTGGCTATTTATTATTTGTATAGCTGTAATCCCAACCCCATGACACCTTTTGCCTAATTTCTGTTTCTTAGCAGCACTACTGTATTCTGATTCTTAAAAATTTTGTTGAAATTGTTACATCTCAGAAATAGTGAGTCAAATTAAAGGCTAAATGGAATTTATATTTAGTGCGAGGGGAACTTTTGTTACCTATAACTCTGAAATGTGACCTTTTTGGTTTCATTGATGTAAAATTAAGAGATCTAAAGTAATTTACTAATTTATTTGTGTGTTTATAAAATGTCTAAAATTATAATTTTTTTTTTTTTTTTTAGATCAAAGCCTATACTCAACTTAAACTTTCTGGTCTTTTGCCATCTGCATATTGGATTGGACAAGCTGTTGTTGATATCCCCTTATTTTTTATCATTCTTACTTTGATGCTAGGAAGCTTATTGGCATTTCATTATGGATTATATTTTTATACTGTAAAGTTCCTTGCTGTGGTAAGTTAACACTAGTTGTACTCATGCTATTTATAGATAGAATGTTATTTAAAAAACTATAAATATGGCAATTGACTTGTTGAATAATTTGGTTATTAATTTTTTTAAAGGACTTTTCCTTTATTATGAAAATGTCAAGACTGACTTATATGAAGATTTTTTTTGTTTGAGTAGGTGATGATGATGATGATTATTATTATTTTATTTTTTGAGATGGAGTTTTGCTCTGTTGTTCAGGCTGGAGTGCAGTGGCGCAATCTTGGCTTACTGTAACATCCATCTCCTGGGTTCAAGCAATTCTCCTGCCTCAGCCTCTCGAGTAGCTGGGACTACGGGACACACTATCATGCCCCGCTAATTTTTGTCTTTTTAATGGAGACGGGGTTTTACCATGTTGGCCAGGCTGGTCTTGAACTCCTGACCTCAAGTGATCCACCTGCCTCGGCCTCCCAAAGTGCTGGGATTACAGGCGTGAGCCACCATGCCCAGCCTTGAGTAGATTATTGATAATATTTTAGTGTTTAGAATGGCTGTTTTTCCTGAATTCCTTTTTTTAATTATTATTATTATGCTTTAAGTTCTGGGATACATGTACAGAGCATGCAGGTTTGTTACATAGGTATATATGTGCCATGGTGGTCTGCTGCACCCATCAACCCATCATCTACATTAGGTATTTCACCTAATGGTATCCCTCCCCTAAACCCCCACCCCCTGACAGGCCCCGGTGTGTGATGTTCCCCTCCCTGTGTCCATGTGTTCTTATTGTTGAACTCTCACTTATGAGTGAGAACATGCAATGTTGGGTTTTCTGTTCCTGTGTTAGTTTGCTGAGAATGATGGTTTCTAGCATCATCCATGTCCCTGCAAAAGACATGACATGAGCTTATTTTTTTTTTTTTTATGAGTGTGTAGAATTCCGTGGTGTATATGTGCCACATTTTTTTAATCCAGTCTATCATCGATGGGCATTTAGGTTAGTTCCAAATCTTTGCTATTGTGAATAGTGCTGCAATAAACACACATGTACATGTGTCTTTATAGTAGAACGATTTATAATCCTTTGGGTATATACCCAGTAATGGGATTGCTGGGTCAAATGGTACTTCTGGTTGTAAATCTTTGAGGAATCGCCACACTGTCTTTCACAATGGTTGAACTAATTTACACTCCCACCAACAGTGTAAAATGTTTCCATTTCTCCACATCCTCTCCATCATCTGTTGTTTCCTGACTTTTTAATGATCACCGTCCTAACTGGCATGAGATGGTATCTCATTATGGTTTTGATTTGCATTTCTTTAATGACCAGTGATGATGAGCTACATAAATGTTTGTTGGCTACATAATGTCTTCTTTTAAGAAGTGTCTGTTCATACCATTTGCCCACTTTTTGATGGGGTTGTTTGTTTTTTTCTTGTAAATTTGTTTAAGTTTCTTGTAGTTTCTAGATATTAGCCCTTTGTCAGATGGATAGATTGCAAAATTTTTCCGCCATTTTGTAGGTTGCCTGTTCACACTGATGATAGTGTCTTTTGCTGTGTAGAAGCTCTTTAGTTTAATTAGATCCCATTTGTCGATTTTGGCTTTTGTTGCCATTGCTTTTGGTGTGTTAGTCATGAAGTCCTTGCCCATGCCTATGTCCTGAATGGTATTGCCTAGGTTTTCTTCTAGGGTTTTTATGGTTTTGGGTCTTATGTTTAAGTCTTTAATCTATGTTGAGTTAATTTTTATAAAAGGTGTAATGAAGAGGTCCAGTTTTATTTTCTGCATATGACTAGCCAGTTTTCCCAATACCATTTGTTAAATAAGGAATTCTTTCCCCATTGCTTGTTTATATCAGATTTGTCAAAGATCAGATGGTTGTAGATATGTGGTGTTATTTCTGAGGCCTCTGTTCTGTTCCATTGGTCTGTATATCTGTTTTGGTACCAGTAGCATGCTGTTTTAGTTGCTGTAGCCTTGTAGTGTAGTTTGAAGTTAGGTAGCATGATGCCTCTAGCTTTGTTGTTTTTGCTTAGGATTGTCTTGGTTATACAGGCTCTTTTTTGATCCTGTATGAAATTAGTTTTGTCTAATTCTGTGAAGAAGGTCAATGGTAGCTTGATGGGGATAGCATTGCATCTATAATACTTGTGGCAGCATGGCCATTTTCACAATACTCATTCTTCCTATCCATGAGTATGGAATGTTTTTCCATTTGCTTGTGTCTTATTTCCTTAAGCAGTGGTTTGTAGTTCTCCTTGAAGAGATCTTTCACATCCTTTGTAAGTTGTATTCCTAGGTATTTTATTCTCTTTGTAGCAATTGGGAATGGAAGTTCACTCATGATTTGTCTCTCTGTTTGTCTGTTATTGGTATATAGGAATGCTTGTGATTTTTGCATATTGATTTTGTATACTGAGCCTTTGCTGAAGCTGCTTATCAGCTTAAGGAGATTTTGGGCTGAGACAGTGGGGCTTTCTAGATATACGTACAGTCATGTCATCTGCAAACAGACAATTTGACTTCTCTTCCTATTTGAATACCCTTTATTTCTTTATATATATATATATATATATATACACACACACACACACACACACACACACACATATATATAACATATATATTATTCTTTATATGTATATAATTGCACTTTAGATTCTGGGGTACATGTGAAGAACATGCAGGATTGTTGCATACATGGCAATGTGGTTTGCCGCTTCCATCCCCATCACCTATATCTGGCATTTCTCCCATGTTATCCCTCCCCAACTCCCTATCCCCCACAGCCCCTCTCCTAGTCCCCCACAAGAGACCCCAGTGTGTGATGCTCCCTCCCGTGTGTCCATGTGTTCTCATTGTTCAACACCCACCTGTGAGTGAGAACATGCAGTGTTTGATTTTCTATTCTTGTGTCAGTTTGCTAAGAATGATGGTTTCCAAGGAAAAATATTTTTTTAAGACAGAGTCTCACTCTGTCACCCAGGCTGGAGTGCAGTGGAGCGATCTCAGCTCACAGCAACCTCCAATTCCCAGGTTCTAGCAGTTCTCCTGCCTCAGCCTTATCTTCAGAAATAAAGCCACACATCGATAGCCATCTAATATTCAACAGAGTTGACAAAAATAAGCAATGAGAAAGGATGCTGTGTTGGATGGTGCGGGGATAGCTGGCTAGCCATATGCAGAAGAATGAAATTGGACTTCCACCTTTCACTGTATATAAAAATTAACTCAAGATGGGTTAAAGATTTAAGGGAAAGACATCAAACTATAAGAATTCTACAAGAAAACCTAGGAAATACCATTCTGCACATTGAGAAAGAATTTACAACTAAATAAGTCCTCAAAAGCAATTGCAATGTACATAAAAATTGACAAGTGGCATCTAATTAAACTAAAGGGCTTCTGCACAGCAAAAGAAACTATCAACAGAGTAAATGGACAACATACTGAATGGGAGAAAATACAAACTATGCATCCAACAAAGGCCTAGTATCCAGAATCTATAAGACACTTAAACAATTCAGCAATAAAAAAACAAAGAACTTCATTAAAAAGTGGGCAAAATATATGAACAGACACGTCTCAAAAGAAAATATGCAAATGGACAACAAATGTATGAAAAAATGCTCTGCATCACTAATCAACAGAAAACTGCAAATTAAAACCACAGTGAGATAGCATCTCACATCAGTTAGAATGACCATTATTAAAGAGTCAAAAACCAACAAATGCTGGCAAGGCTGCAGAGAAAATGAAGTGCTTGTATACTCTTGGTAGGAATGTAAACTTCAGCAACCATGGAAGGCAGTTTGGAGAGTTCTCAAAAATACTAAAACAGAACCACCTTACAACTCGGAAACTCCATTACTGGGTATATATCAAAAAGAAAATAAATCGTTCTACCAAAAAGACACATGAGCTGGTATGTTTATTGCAGCACTATTCACAATAGCAAAGACACGGAATCAACCTAGGAGCTCATAACAGGTGATTGATTAAAGAAAGTGTGATACATACACACCACGGAATACTGTGCAGCAATAAGAAAGAATGAAATCATGTCTGTTGCAGCAGCACAGATGCAGTTGTAGGCCGTTATCCTAAGTGAATTAATAAAGGAACAGAAAACCAACTATTGCATGTTCCCACTTATAAGTGGAAGCTAAATTGGGTAAACATGGACATAAAGATGGCAACAATAGACACCGGGGACTATTAGGTGGAGGCAGGAGGAAGGGTAGCAAGGGTTGAAAAACTAACCATTGGGTACTATGCCCAGTACTTAGGTGACAGAATCAATTATACCCCAAACCTCAGCATCATGCAGTATACCCATGTAACAAACGTGCACATGTATCCCCTGAATCTAAAGTAAAACTGGAAATTATTTAAAATAAAATGAAATACAGCTTAAAATATCAAAGTGGAGACTGATTTGCATCCATGTTAACATGTAAATGACTGACAGTAGACCCTGTCATTGAATACTTTATTAGGAAAAAGGGAAAACAGAGTTAGGCAAGGTTGATGCTAAAATTAACTTACCAATTTTGTCAGAGATCATAATGACCTTATATATTAGTTTCTGCCATATAAAATAATATTTTTCTTAAACCTTAAAAAATAAAGTGCTGTATATTAAAATAGTAGCTAATATTTGATTGAGAGAGATAAAGTTGTAGCTAGCTATACTTGCTTTTTATAATAAAATAATGAGATGATATTTTACTTGGTATAAAACACTACAAAGGCCAGGCACGGTGGCTCACGCCTATAATCCCAGCACTTTGGGAGGCCGAGGTGGGTGGATCACGAGGTCAAGAGATCGAGACCATCCTGGTCAACAAGGTGAAACCTCGTCTCTACTAAAAATACAAAAATTAGCTGGGCATGATGGTGCATACCTGTAGTCCCAGATACTCGGGAGGCTGAGGCAGGAGAATTGCTTGAACCCAGGAGGGAGGTTGCGGTGAGCCGAGATCGTGCCATTGCACTCCAGTCTGGGCAACAACAGCGAAACTCCATCTCAAAAAAAAAAAAAAAAAAAAACACTACAAATAGTGTTTAGTTTAAATAATTTATTCAGGATTGTATTAAAAAAATTGTGTTAATGTTTTAATATGACTAGTATTTCATGTCGTGTATTGGAAGCTATTCATATTTTTATAGAAACATGTTTCTGATTTACAGGTTTTTTGCCTTATTGGTTATGTTCCATCAGTTATTATGTTCACTTATATTGCTTCTTTCACCTTTAAGAAAATTTTACATACCAAAGAATTTTGGTCATTTATCTATTCTGTGGTAAGTCACATTTTACATTATTTCAACTTGCCATAGCAGTTTAATTAAAAGTCACGAATACTTTCCTGATTATACTAAAATGTTACATGTCTTTTGTAAGCACAGAATTTAGTTAGATAATTGGCCGCTTCTTTTTATATGTACATTTGTCTTCTGAATCCTCTTTTCCACATAGGGACAATATGGAAGACTTTTAGCAACTAGGGTAGCGTGGATACCAGCTACAAACAAGTTGCTACTTGCTGGCTAAATAACATGTCTAGTTCCATGTTTTACTAGAGGATTGAAAACATAGTTTGAAGCTTAGACACCAATTTGTAAGTCAGTTTGTATGAAACTTCTAAACACTTTGTCACTTGTTTTTTCGTTTTTTTTCTTTAGACAGCATTGGCTTGTATTGCAATCACTGAAATAACTTTCTTTATGGGATACACAATTGCAACTATTCTTCATTATGCTTTTTGTATCATCATTCCAATCTATCCACTTCTAGGTTGCCTGATTTCTTTCATAAAGGTAATTCTGCTAAGTATTTTAATATGTTAAAAAACATAAATAAGTACTGTCTGAGGATGTTAGTTCTTACTCAGAAAACAGTAAAATGCATCAGGTTAATGGCTACTACTTCATTTAGATATTATTAATGCAGCATAAATTATTGTGAAATGTCAAACTGTAAATTCTCAAAAGAAAAGGGCTATGCTCATTATAGGTTTTCTGATGCTCAAAATGATATATATAATTAGAATTGTGATGTGGTTTCAGTCAGTGTTTTTAGGAGTTTATCAGTGATTAAATAATATATTTTACTATGAAGGAATGAGAAAGAATAAAGTGTAAGAGATTTTCTCCAAGAAAAAATAGAGACAAAAACCAGATTTATTTTATTAAGGCTGGATAATTGAAAAAAAATTTCCATGTGATTAGAAAAAATATTATGAATTATTGATTAAGGTTGGTAATTAATTCTTCTTACTAATCCTGCTACCCCTGCTTCCCTTTTTAGGTCTCAGTTTAATGTTTTTAATTTATACTAATCCTCTGAAATATTTTGGGACAGAGAAGATTTTAAGTAAAAACTATAATTTACTAATATGAATAGCTAACTTAATAGAAAATACGCTTGCTAAACAAAATATATTTTTTTCATTTTAATCCAACTATTTCTACATATTGCAGCATGTACGTTTTTAAAACTTTTTGTCTTAGATTTCTTGGAAGAATATACGAAAAAATGAGGACACCTATAATTCATGGGATAGGCTTTCAGTAGCTGTTATATCGGTAAGAAATGAAAGTGTTTGTGTGAGTTAGTATGTTAACTTAAAAATAGTTTGGACCTATGGTTTAAACTATGTATAATTTTTTATCCTGTTTTATGAAAAAGAAGGTGCATAAAAAGTCAAGTGTGTTAGTTAACACTAGCTAATCTGTATTTAACAGGGAATACCTACTGAATGTGTCCACTTTAATATACTTAGCCTTTTACATGTTATTAACTCTATTTAGCTACAGTTCCGTCTTCTTAGAATCAAAAACAAAGTTTTTGTGTTTGATTATATTTTATGAAGCTGACAATAAATGAATGATACAGGGATAGACAATATGTGAAGGATTTACTAAAAATAATTCTGTTTTAGTTTGTGTAAAATTTATTTTTAATTATCATGTCAAGTATAAAAAAGTTGTGATTTTTTTTTTTTTTTTTTTTTTTTTGAGTAATGACAAGGAACCTGATGTATGTAGTCTTAGTTCTATTGGCAAAGGAAAAGAATAAACAACAAACCTTTTAGTCATGAGCTGCAACATGTTCTTCTTTTAGCCTTACCTGCAGTGTGTACTGTGGATTTTCCTCTTACAATACTATGAGAAAAAATATGGAGGCAGATCAATAAGAAAAGATCCCTTTTTCAGGTCAGTTAATTTTTAATTTTTAAAAAATTTTAAATGTTTTTAGCATATTTACGGAATTGTGTAACTGTCACCATAATATATAATTTCGAAACATTTCCAGCACTCCAGAAAGAAACTTTGTACTCATTAATAGTCACTTTCTTATTCCTACTCCCATAACCCCTGTCTTAGGTAACCACTAATCTACATTTTGTTTCTGTCAGATTTGCCTATTCTGAACATTTTATATAACTGGACAATGGAAATATGCTTTGGAAAATCTTGAGTCTAAAGACCAATGATTCTCTTAAATATATTTAACTTTTATAGCTATTTGCTTTTTACCATAGTTGGTTGGTATATTATTTTAATGTTGGAAAATCATCAGATTTGACAGAAAACATCTTTTAAAAATTGCCAGGATTTGGGCAATATAATTAGTATCTAACATACGTTTTTACACTTATTATAATGTTTGGAATGGTCATCATGTAGTCACGTGTAGCAGTACTTTGTTACCTTTTTTTTTTTTTTGCTGAGTAATGCTACAGTGTATGAGTATACTGTACTTTTTATATATCTTTATCAATGAGTTGAGTTGCTTTTACTTTTTGGCTATTATGATGTTGCCATGAATATTTGTATACAAGTGTTTCTATGGACATATATTTTCATTTATTTTGGTTAGCTACCTAGAAATAGGATTGCTGAGTCATTTGAGGAATTTCCAGACTGTTTCTAAAGTGGTAGTGCTATTTTACACTCCCCCAGGAACGTATTAGGGTTCTGTTTTCCCCACATCCTTGCCAATGCTTGTTCTTGTTTGTCTTTTTTTTTTTTTTTGAGACAGAGTTTCACTCTTCTTGCCCAGGCTGGAGTGCAATGGCACAATCTCAGCTCACCACAAGCTCCACCTACCGGGCTCAAGTGATATCCTGCCCCAGCCTCCCAAGTAGCTGGGATTACAGGCATGTGCTATCATGCCTGGCTAATTTTGTATTTTTAATAGAGATAGGGTTTCTCCATGTTGGTCAGGCTGGTCTCAAACTCCCAACCGAGGTGATCCACCCACCTCGGCCTCCCAAAGTGCTGGTATTACAGGCGTGAACCACTGCTCCCAGCCTTTGTCTTTTTAACATATTCTTCCAAATATATTAGCTAATATCTATTTTTACTTTTTCTTCTATCCAGCCTTGCTTACATGATTAATCACTTTATTATCATTTCAGCATCTTCAACTTTTGTCTTTTTGACCTGTCTACAAAAAACTATAATTGTTGGTGAATTGAATTATATGCTGGAAAAACTAACATAAAAGTGCCATTTGATAGTACTGTATATTTATTGCTTGTAAATTTATTCCATATACAAAAGCCATTTTTTAAAAAAAATTATTTTAGATTCAGGGGTAAATGTGCATGTTCGTTAGATGGGTATATTGCATACTGATGGTGATTGGGCTTCTAGTGTAACATTACCCAAAAAGTGAACATTGTACCAATTAGGTAATTTTTCAACTCTCAGCCCTGAACCCTTTTGGAGTACCCAATCCTCATGTTTATGTTCATGTGTATCTTCTGTTTAGCTTCCACTTATAAGTGAGAGCATGTGGTATTTGATTGTCTGTTTCCAGATTAGTTCACTTAGGATAATGGCCTTCAGCTCCATCCATGTTGCTGTAAAGAACATAATTTCCTTCTTTTTATGGCTGTGTAGTATTCCATGGTGTGTATATACCATATTTTCTTTTCTTTTCTTTTAATATTTTATTGTGTTTTAGGTTTTGGGGTACATGGGAAGAACATGCAGGATTTTTGCATAGGTACATACATGGCAATGTGCTTTGTTGCCTTCCTCCCCATCACCTATATCTGGCATGTTTCCCCATGTTATCCCTCCCTAACTCCCCAACCTGCACTGTCCCTCCCCTAGTTCCCCCTAACACAGACCTCAGTGTGTGATGCTTCCTCCCTGTGTTCATGTGTTCTCATTGTTCAACACCCACCTATGAGTGAGAACATGCAGTGTTTGATTTTCTGTTCTTGTGTCAGTTTACTGAGAATGATGGTTTCCAGGTTCATCCATGTCCCTACAAAGGACACGAACTCATCGTTTTTGTTGGCTGCATAGTATTCCATGGTGTATACGTGTCACATTTTCCCTGTCCAGTCATCATCGATGGGCATTTGGGTTGGTTCCAGGTCTTTGCTAATGTAAACAGTGCTGCAGTAAACATTCGTGTGCATGTGTCCTTATAGTAGAGCAATTTATAATCCTTTGGATATATACCCAGTAATGGGATTGCTGGATCAAATGGAATTTCTATTTTTAGGTCCTTGAGGAATCGCCACACTGTCTTCCACAATGGTTGAACTAATTTACACTCCCACCAACAGTGTAAAAGTGTTTCTATTTCTCCACATCCTCTCCAGCATCTGTTGTCTCCTGATTTTTTAATGATCGCCATTCTAACTGGCGTGAGATGGTATCTCAATGTAGTTTTGATTTGCATTTCTCTAATGACCAATCAGTGATGGTGAGCATTTTTTCATATGTTTGTTGGCCTCATATATGTCTTCTTTTGAAAAGTGTCTGTTCATATCCTTCACCCACTTTTGAATACACTTGTTTGTTTTTTTCTTGTAAATCTGTTTTAGTTCTTTGCAGATTCTGGATATTAGCCCTTTGTCACATGGGTAGATTGCAAAAAGTTTTTTCCATTCTGTTGGTTGCTGATTCACTCTAATGATTGTTTCTTTTGCTGTTAAGAAGCTCTGAAGTTTCATTAGATCCCATTTGTCTATTTTGGCTTTTGTTGCCAGTGCTTTTGGTGTTTTAGTCATGAAGTCCTTGCCTATGCCTTTGTCCTGAATGGTATTGCCTAGATTTTCTTCTAGAGTTTTTATGGTGTTAGGTCTTATGTTGAAGTCTTTGATCTACCTGGAGTTAATTTTAGTGTAAGCTGTCAGGAAGGGGTCCAGTTTCTGGTTTCTGCACATGGCTAGCCAGTTATCCCAACACATGGCTAGCCAGTTATCCCAACACCATTTATTAAATAGGGAATCCTTTCCCCATTGCTGGTTTGTGTCCAGTTTGTCAAAGATCAGATGGTTGTAGATGTGTGGCATTGCCTCCAAGGCCTCTGTTCTGTTCCATTGGTCTATATCTCTGTTTTGGTACCAGAACCATGCTGTTTTGATTACTGTAGGCTTCTAGTATAGTTTGAAGTCAGGTAGAGTGATGCCTCCAGCTTTGTTCTTTTTGCTTAGAATTGACTTGGCTGTGCGGGCTCTCTTTTGGTTCCATATGAAGTTTAAGGTGGTTTTATCCAGTTCTGTGAAGAAGGTCATTGGTAGCTTGATGGGGATAGCATTGAATCTATAAATTACATTGGGCAGTATGGCCATTTTCACGTACTGATTCTTCCTAACCATGAGCATGGAATGTTTCTTCATCTGTTTGTGTCCTCTCTTATTTCGTTGAGCAGTGGTTTGTAGTTCTCCTTGAAGATGTCCTTTAAATTCCTTGTTAGTTGTATTCCTAGGTATTTTATTCTCTTTGTAGCAATTGTGAATGGCAGTTCGTTCTTGATTTGGCTCTCTTTAAGTCTGATATTGGCGTATAGGAATGCTTGTAATTTTTGCACATTGATTTTGTATCCTGAGACTTTGCTGAAGTTGCTTATCAGTTTCAGGAGATTTGGGGCTGAGATGATGGGGTCTTCTAAATATACAATCATGTCTCCTGCAAATAGAGAAAATTTGACTTCCTCCTTTCCTAATTGAATACCCTTTATTTCTTTGTCTTGCCTGATCTCTCTGGCTACAACTTCCAATACTATATTGAATAGGAGCGGTGAGAGAGGGCATCCTTGTCTAGTGCCAGATTTCAAAGGGAATGCTTCCAGGTTTTGCCCATTCAATATGATATTGGCTGTGGGTTTGTTGTAAATAGCTTTTATTATTTTGAGATCCATTCCATCAATACCTAGTTTATTGATAGTTTTTAGCATAAAGGGCTGTTGAATTTTGTCAAAGGCCTTCTCTGCATCTATTGAGATAATCATGTGATTTTTGTCTTTGGCTCTGTTTATGTGGTGAATTATGTTTATAGACTTGTTGGTGTTGAACCAGCCTTGCATCCCCAGGATGAGGCCTACTTGACTGTGATGGATAAGCTTTTTGATGTGCTTTTGCAATTGGTTTGCCATTATTTTATTGAAGATTTTTTTATCTATGTTCATCATGGATATTGGCCTGAAGTTTTCTTTTCTTGTTGAATCTCTGCCGGGTTTTGGCATCAGGATGATGTTAGTCTCATAAAATAATTTGGGAAGGATTCCCTCTTTTTGGATTGTTTGGAATAGTTTCAGAAAGAATGGTACCAGCTCCTCTTTGTATACCTGGTAGAATTTGACTGTGAACCCATCTGGACCTGGGCTTTTTTTGGTTGGTAGGCTATTAATTGCTGCCTCAAGTTCAGCCCTTGTTATTGGTCTGTTCAGGGTTTTGACTTCTTACTGGTGTAAGCTTGGGAGGATGCAAGTGTCCAGGAATTTATCCATTTCTTCCAGGTTTTCTGGTTTACGTGCATAGAGTTGTTTGTAATCTCTGATGGTGGTTTGTATTTCTGTGGAATCTGTGGTAATATCCCCTTTATCGTTTTTTTATTGCATCTATTTGATTATTCTCTCTTTTTTATTAATCTGGCTAGTGGTCTGTCTATTTTGTTGATGTTTTCAAGAAACCAGCTCCTGGATTTGTTGATTATTTGAAGGGTTTTTTGTGTCTCTGTCTCCTTCAGTTCTGCTCTGATCTTAATTATTTCTTGTCTTCTGCTAGGTTTTGAGTTTTTTCCTTCTTGCTCCTCTAGCTCTTTAAATTTTCACCATATGGTGCCAATTTTAGATCTTTTCTTGCTTCTCGTGTGGGCATTTATTGCTGTATATTTTCCTCTAGGCACTGCTTTAAATGTGTTCAGAGATTCTGGTATATTGTGTCTTCATTCTCGTTGGTTTTGAAGAACATCTTTATTTCTGCCTTCATTTCATTGTTTATCCAGTCAATGTTCAAGAGCCAGCTGTTCAGTTTCCATGAAGTTGTGCGGTTCTGAGCTAGTTTCTGAGTTCTGAATTCTAACTTGATTGCACTGTGGTCTGAGAGACTGTTATGATTTCCATTCTTTTGCATTTGCTGAGGAGTGATTTACTTCCAATTATGTGGTCAATTTTAGAGTAGGTGTGATGTGGTGCTGAGAAGAATGTATATTCTGTGGATTTGGGGTGGAGAGTTCTGTAAAAGTCTATTAGGTCTGCCTGGTCTAGGTCTGAGTTCAAGTCCTGGATATCCTTGTTAATTTTCTGTCTGGTTGACCTGTCTAATATTGACAGTGGACTGTTAAAGTCTCCCACTATTATTGTGTGAGAGTCTAAGTCTCTTTTTAAGTCATTAAGAACTTGCTTTATGTATCTGGGTGCTCCTGTATTTGGTGCATATATATTTAGGATCGTTAGCTCTTCTTGTTGCATTGATGCTTTTACATTATGTAATGTCCCTCTTTGTCTCTTTTGATCTTTGTTGGTTTAAAGTCCATTTTATCAGAGACTAGGATTGCAACTCCTGCTCTTTTTTTGCTGTCCATTTTCTTGATAAATCTTCCTCCATCCTTTATTTTGAGCCTATGTGTGTCCTTGCATGTGAAATGTGTTTCCTGGATACAGCACACAGATGAGTTTTGCCTCTTTATCCAATTTGCCAGACTTTGTCTTTTGATTGGGGCATTTAGCCCATTTACATTTAAGGTTAATATTGTTATGTGTGAATTTATCATGCCATTTTTATGCTAGCTGGCTATTTTGCCCATTAGTTGATGCAGCTTCTTCATTGTGTCGATGCTGTTTACCATTTGGTACGTTTTTGGAGTGGCTGGTACTGGTTGTTCTTTCTATGTTTAGTGCTTCTTTCAGGCACTCTTGTAAAGCAGGCCTGGTGGTGGTGAGATCTCTCAGCAATTGCTTGTTCGTAAAGGATTTTATTTCTCCTTCACTTATGAAATTTAGTTTGGCTGGATATGAAATTCTAGGTTGAAAGTTCTTTTCTTTAAGGATGTTGACTATTGGTCCCCACTCTCTTCTGGCTTGTAGAGTTTCTGCTGAGAGATCCGCTGTCAGTCTGATGGGCTTCCCTTTGTAGGTAACCCGACCTTTCTCTCTGGCTGCCCTTAGCCTTTTTCCCTTCATTTCAACCCCAGTGAATCTGGCAATTATGTACCTTGGGGTTGCACTTCTTGAGGAATATCTTTGTGTTGTTCTCTGTTTTTCCTGTACTTGAATATTGGCCTGCCTTGCTAGGTTTGGGAAGCTCTCCTGGATAGTATCCTGAAGAGTTTTTTCCAGCTTGGATTCATTCTATCCATCACATTCAGGTACACCTATCAAACTTAGATTAGGTCTTTTCACATTATCCCATACTTCTTGGAGGCTTTGTTCGTTCCTTTTTATTCTTTTTTCTCTAATCTTTTCTTCTCATTTCATTGAGTTGATCTTCAATCTCTGATATCCTTTCTTCTGCTTGGTTAATTTAGCTATTGAAACTTGTATATGCTTCACGAAGTTCTCATGTTGTGTTTTTCAGCTCCATCAATTCATTTATCTTCCTCTATAATCTATTTATTCTCATTAGCATTTCATCAAACCTTTTTTCAGGTTTCTTAGTTTCTTTGCATTGGGTTAGAACATGTTCTTTTAGCTCATATAAGTTTCTTATTATCCACCTTCTGAAGCCTGTTTCTGTCAATTCATCAGATTCATTCTCCATCCAATTTTGTTCCCTTGCTGGTGAGGAGTTGCGATCCCTTGGAGGAAGAGAGGCGTTCTGGTTTTGGGTGTTTTCATCCTTTTACACTCGTTTCTTCTCATCTTTGTGGATTTATCTCCCTGTGGTCTTTGTAGTTGGTGACTTTCAGATGGGGTCTCTGAGTGGTCGTCCTGTTTGTTGATGATGAAGTCATTTATTTCTGTTTCTTAGTTTTCCTTCTAACAGTCAGTCCCCTCTACTGTAGGACTGCTGGAGGTCCACTCCAGACCCTGGTTGCCTGGGGATCACCTGCAGCGGCCTCTGCGTTTTAGCTGGGAACTGCGATCCAGAGCTGTTCCTATTCAGTCATCTTGGATCCCGTTCACTAACCATATTTTCTTTACCCAGTCAACTGTTGATGGACACTCAAGTTGGTTCTATGACTTTACTATTGTGTATAGTACCATGATGAACATATGAGTGCAAGTGTCTTCTCTTTCTTTTCAATAGTTATCCAAAGCTTTCTTTTTATTCTTCAAATTCCTCAAATCACCTTATTTTACTTCCTGCTTCTCAGCAAGTAATTTTGTCATTTATCTCAGAAAACAGAAACAATTATAAGTTATAAATTTCTACAAACTTACTCACATCTTCCATCATTTTTGCCTTTTCCAGGTTCTAGAGGAAGTAGCAGCACATCCTGTTATCCGAGTCTTCATTTATTCTGTATACTTAGAATATTGCTCAGTTTTCTTTTTCTCTTTCCTTTCTGGATTTCAATAGTGTATTTTTTCTCTTTTTTTCTTTTCTTTCTGAATCTCAATAGTATATTTTGTTGTGGGGTTGGGGAGGGTCACCTTTATTCCATATATGAAAGAACCCATAGATCTCATTTGAACATGAATTCATCTCTGGCTCCTATTCTCTATCTCTTTTCTTTCATAGCCAAAAACCTGCTATCTCCAGTTACTCACCTTCCATCCACTCCTATAACTCCCTCCAATCTGGTTTTCCCTTACCTTTCCATTGATACTATTTTCAATAAGATAACAATTATTTTGTTATTTTATGGTCTAGTAGGCTCAACATATTTAATCTGCAGACTTTAATATGACTGACATTGTTCTCCTTACACATTTTTCTTTTCTTCTTTTTTGTGAGACGGAATCTAAGTCTATTATCCAGGCTGGAGTGCAGTGGCACGATCTGGCTCACTGCAGTCTCCATCTCCCAGGTTCAGATGATTCTCCTGCCTCAGCCTCCCAAGTACCTGGGATTACAGGCATGTGCCACCACCCCTCACTAATTTTTGTATTTTAGTTTTTAGTAGAACAGGGTTTCTCCATGGTTGCTAGGCTGGTCTTGAACTCCTGACTTCAAGTGATCTGCACGCCTCAGCCTCTTAAAGTGCTGAGATTATAGGCATGAGCCACCACACCAGGCCACATTTTTCTTATTCTTTTGTTTTCCATTATATCTTCTTCTGTTTGCCAAAATTTCCTTTGCAAGCACTTCATCCTCTGTCCCTAAAAATGGTGTTACTGTGGGTTCTGGTGTCAGTCCTTTATATCTACTCTTTCTGGGCAATTTCATTTATACTCAGGTTTTACATTTTTTGAGGGCAAAGTTCATGTTTTTTTCATCTTTCTTCCTGTGTAATAATACCTGATATCTACTAATCATAAATAATATTGTTGAATAAATGAATTTAGATAATATCATCCAAATGCTATCATCAGTCATTGAAAAATATTGCTCGTAATTCCACCTTTCGGAGATAATCCTAGATCTTATGTTGGTGTATTTTTTCAGTCTTTTCTCTACCTAGTGTCTGAATTTCTTACTATTTTAATTATTTGAAAACCTACTATCTTTCTATATTTGTTATATATATGTAGAAACCTTTCAAAGAAGTCCAAAAATAGAAAGTTTCCAGAACCACCAAACAATGAGGATGAAGATGAAGATGTCAAAGCTGAAAGACTAAAGGTCAAAGAGCTGATGAGTTGCCAGTGTTGTGAGGAGGTAATTTATTCTTTATGCTGTCATATTAAATATGAAATGATCAGTTCCCAGTATATAGAAATTAATCTGAAAAATAGTTTTTTGCATATGAAGCAGTCTGAAAAAAATCTTTCTTGGAAAAAAATACTTGTCTACTTATCTTTGAATAAACCAGGATTTCAGTCATAAATGGATATTTATTTGTACTGTATCTCCTTATTAGCCAATATAATTTTTATAATATGGACATGAGGTATGTGTAGCCTGTCATTTCATGATAGGTTTTGTAACTTTCTTTTTAAATACAATTTTTCTTATTAGAAACCATCCATTATGGTCAGCAATTTGCATAAAGAATATGATGACAAGAAAGATTTTCTTCTTTCAAGAAAAGTAAAGAAAGTGGCAACTAAATACGTCTCTTTCTGTGTGAAAAAAGGCTGGTATTTAATTTTTTCTTACATAACTTTTCTAGAAGAATAATTTCCACTTTTGGTTTGATTTTATTATGATTTTTTTCTTTCAATTTCTTTAGGAGAGATCTTAGGACTGTTGGGTCCAAATGGTGCTGGCAAAAGTACAGTTATTAATATTCTGGTTGGTGATATTGAACCAACTTCAGGAAAGGTATGATGTGTAAGAGTATGGGATATGTTGAATATGATTTATATTTTTAATTAAGATAAACTTTTAAGACAAATTAGGATTTGGTATTCAATTTTATTGTATATTTTTAGCATTTTTTGTATAGCTTGATCAAATTATGATCTTTTTGGTTATCTGCAAAAATAATGTACTTGGTGAAATTTTTGTACACACATGTAGACACACACATATACAATATTTCTGCTTCTGTAATGCTTACATGCATGAGTTATTTGTCTGCCAACTTAATGGAAGACAATTTTATTAGCTTCAAGAGATTTGGGAGTTTGTTTTGACCTGCCATCAGCTAGTCTTTGATTATAAGCATGTCACTCACCACTTTGTGGATACTTCACAAAAGTATCCTGATCCCATTTCCTGCTTCTCTCCCCTTGCTTACTTTATGCTAGCCACACAGGAAAATGACAGGCATACTCTTTTCTTCAAGTTTTTTTCCACGGTGTTTTCTTTGTTTGGCTATACCTTATGCCTTAGAAATACATACACTAAATTCACTTACCTCGAATGTCACCTTCCAGTGAAGCTCCCTGATTATTAGAATTATAGCTTTCTTTTTCATCCAACTCTGCATTACCCTTTCTGACCATGTCTCCAAACTCTGACTTAGCTATATATTGTCTTTCCATCATCAAAAAGGAGTAAAACATCTGACTGGATGCCATGGCTGACGCCTGTAATCCCAACACTTTGGGAGGTTGAGGCAGGAGGATTGCTTGAGACTAGCCTGGGCAATATAGTGAGACCTTGTCTCTACTAAAATTCAAAAAAGAAAAAATAATAGCCAGGCATGTGGCACATGTTTGTAGTCTCTGTTGCTTAATATTAATAGTAATAGTAATAATAATAAAGGAGTACAACTCTGACTTGATTACTCTGGCTATAGAAAGGTGTTTTGATTCATGTACTGGCCACTCCCTCCACCATGTAAATTAAGCAAGGTAGTAAAAATTGGTTTGTGTTTCTATAGGTATTTTTGGGAGATTATTCTTCAGAGACAGGTGAAGAAGATGATTCAATAAAGTGTATGGGTTACTGTCCTCAGATAAACCCTTTGTGGCCAGATACTACACTGCAGGAACATTTTGAAATTTATGGAGCCATAAAAGGAATGAGTGCAAGTGACATGAAAGAAGTCATAAGTCGGTAAAATGATTGTCTTTAAATTCCTTTTGTTACTTAGGGGAAATATTTACATTTCATATTTTTTGAATTTCATAACAAGCATTTCTGTGGACAGTAATTTTTATAGAAAATGGTCATTACTTTTTCACATATTCTTTATGGTATATGAAAATACATTGATAGCTATAAATTATGATAACTATAAAGAAGGTAATTTTTCTAGTTACATAATGAATGTACCTGTGTCATGAAACTTATTTAATTCAAAGTGAACTATTTTATCAAGATATTAATTTATTTAAAATGACATAATTGGAGAATTTTGCCCTTACCTACTTATAATAGCTTCAACTGAGTAATTATTCTAGAGAAAACAGCATCAGAGATCACATACAATTGATATTTATGTTTATATATCATGGTATATTCATTTTGTATTGTTCATTTTGCAGAATAACAAATGCACTTGACTTAAAAGAACATCTTCGGAAAACTGTAAAGAAACTACCTGCAGGAATCAAACGAAAGGTACTTTCATTAAACTCCAAATAATGTCTGTTTTTTTTTATTGATAGTTTAGCACCTGATATCATCTTGATAAATTCCTTATAATGAACCTTTGTTAATTCCCCACCCGTCTTTTTCTTTCCATGTAGTTGTGTTTTGCTCTAAGTATGCTAGGGAATCCTCAGATTACTTTGCTAGATGAACCATCTACAGGTATGGATCCTAAAGCCAAACAGCACATGTGGTAAGTATGATACTTGTGACAAAGTACATCATACTTTAGAATAAAATAATAGTTTCTTTTATTATAATAGTTTTATATTATTTATATGTACATCTTGATTTTAAATTTGATTCAAAGGATATAATAGTAATTAAAAATTAAATAGATTTAAAGATTTTGTTAAGCTTTTAAAACTTTGCCATATTTTTCATGAAGTGTTCATAGTATTTTATATATTCTAGAACAGAAATAAGCATATGGATAATTATTAAGATAAAGAGTTCCTGTGTTCTATATAGTTTTTAAGGCTTTTTCTAGTCATTTGACATATAAATGATCTTTCACAAGATCATGGTGTCTTGAATTTATGTTGGGACTCTTTCTAGTACAGTGATGCATTGCCTAATGACAGAGATACATTCTGGGAAAGGTGATTTTGTCATTGTGCAAATGTAATGGAGTGTACTTATATAAACCTCTGGGTGGTTATAGCCTATTACCTACCTAGACTATATACCTGTAGACTATTGATTCTAGGCTGTAAATCCGTAGAACATGTCACTGCACTGAATATTGTAGGCAGTTGTAACACGATGGTATTTGTGTATCTAGACATTTCTAAACATAGAAAAGATATAGTAAAAATACAGTATTATACTCTTATGGGATCATGGTTGGAAATGGTTTTCCTCATTGACTGATATGTCATTATGCAGTGCATGTAAAGTACTAATTAGTTGAACAACTCTTTTTTTTTTTTTTGAGATGGAGTCTTGTTCTGTCACCCAAACTGGAGTGCAGTGGTGCGATCTTGGCTCGTGGCAACCTCTGCCTCATGGCAACCTCTGCCTCTCAGGCCCAAGCAGTTCTACTGCCTCAGCCTTCCAAGTAGCTGGGACTACAGGCAAGAGCCACCACGCTTAGCTAATTTTTTGTTTTTGTTTTCCTTTTGTTTTGAGATGGAGTCTCGCCATGTCACCCAGGCTAGAATGCAATGGCGTGTTCTTGGCTTACTGCAACCTCCGCCTCCCAGGTTCAAGTGATTCTCCTGCCTCAGACTCCCAAATGGCTGGGATTACAGGCGTGTGCCACCACTCCTGGCTAAGTTTTTGTATCTTTAGTAGAGTTGGGGTTTCACCATGTTGGCCAGGCTGGTCTCAAACTCCTGAACTCAGGCGATCCACCCCCCTCGGCCTCCCAAAATGCTGGAATTACAGATGTGAGCCACTGCACTCAGCCTTGAACAACTCTTTAAGCCTCTACTTCCATGTCTATAAAGTGTAAAGTTTGGTTTGTATGCATGTTAAAGTTTTCTTACGATTCAAAGCCTGTTTTGGTTATAACATGAAAAGACATCAATTTTAAAGTTTATTTGTTGTCATACTTTTAGCCCATATTAACATTTGAAATTATAGATTTTTTTTCCATTTGACAAGCTTTCGAAATGAAGGGAAAATAAATTAGAATATAAAAGCCATAGTTGGGTAGGATGTAATAACCACAGCAATTAATATTTGGAAGTTTTAATTTACTTAATTCACCAACCAGTTGGATTTTTAAAAGCCTATTTTTTTTTAATAAACAGATGTGTTCCTCTCTTTATTTTATTTTATTTGTGTTTTATAGGCGAGCAATTCGAACTGCATTTAAAAACAAAAAGCGGGCTGCTATTCTGACCACTCATTACATGGAGGAGGCAGAGGCTGTCTGTGATCGAGTAGCTATCATGGTGTCTGGACAGTTAAGGTTGCTGTCTTAAATAGCATGCCATTTAGGGGAAGAGGGTGGGGGCTGGATTTTGAATGTCATCATTTCAAAAACATGGTAATATTTAGTAATTTAAATGTTAAATATTTTTGTTTTTGAGTTAGCTTTTTATAGATTGACTTGAAGTATGTTGAGTTTTTAAAAAATTTGACTGTTTACTTTGAATTTGAATTCATTTACTATTTCAATAACTTGTAATATTTTTAGGCATTGTACTTGTTATTTTAAGAAATTGTTATATGCTGGATTAATTATAGAACACAAATATGAAATAAATATATGAGTTTATACTTACATAAATAATTGAGTAAAGAAATAAGTGTGAGAAAAGAGGTGGATCTTCCTTACAAAACAACTCCAAATAATATATGTTGATAATACCTCCTTCAAGGGAGTAGGTTGAATCTCCTTTCCCCCAAGTTTGGACTGGACTTAGCTGGTTTCTTGTAAAAATTAAACTACCGAAGGAGGAAAACAGTAACTTCACAGTTGAGAAAGCTGGAAAATACTACCTTAACTAAATAATGTTGTACAGATACCATGTATTCACTGATGCGATATGATGGGAAAAGTACCACAGCTGTGTGATATTCTTTCCAAAACCCATAACCCAAGTCTAATCATGAGAAAAATATCAGACTAATTTGAATTGAGGGACCTTCTACCAGACACATGACCAGTACTTCTCAAAACTGTCAAAATCATGAAAAAGAATAAGAAACTGTCACCACAGTGATAGACTAAGGTGACATGACAGCTAAGAACACTATGGTACCCTGGACAGATCCTGGAATAAGCAAGGGACAAGTAGTGGAAAATTGGTGAAATCTAAATAAAGTATGGAGTTCAGTTACAAGAAATGTACCAGTGTTGGTGTCTCAGTTTTGAACAAATTGACCATGGTAATGTAAAATGACAAGATTAGAGAAACTGAAACTGGATGAAGAGTGTATGGGGATGCTGTATTTTCATTGCAATTTTTCTCTAAATTAAATGTAAAGATATGTCTTTTAAAAATGTAGTGATATATGTGAGAAATTATTCTTTGAAACTGTCATTTTATATCTGAGCTTTCTTTTAAAAAAATTACTTCAGATGTATTGGAACAGTGCAACATCTAAAGAGTAAATATGGAAAAGGCTACTTTTTGGAAATTAAATTGAAGGACTGGGTAGAAAACCTAGAAGTAGACCGCCTTCAAAGAGAAATTCAGTATATTTTCCCAAATGCAAGCCGTCAGGAAAGGTAAAATTTTTTAAAACATGGTTATATTTCTTTATAAAGCAAAGACTATAAACAGTTATTATATTAAGGATTAAGTGAAAAATCATCTTTTTATTCATAGGGCATATATGTATTTCTCTGTGTGTGTGTGAAAAAAATATATATATATTTCATATGTATATGAAATGTATTTATCTGTAGATTACATATATAGAGATTATATATATATATATATATATATATATATATATATATATGTTTCTGTATTATCACCAGTACTGGACTAATGAAGTCTGATGGCTTGTGTTTTATATCGGCCTTAGTATTAGATTTTTCAATATTCAGTAGTATTTAATTTTTTTTTAACATTCTTAGTAGCATTGAGTTATTTTGTTTTGCATGAAAATGTAATTTTAAACAATTTTTATCCAAGTAAATATCAAAATTAATTGTTGAATTTAATTTTGAGCTTTAAACATGTTAAACTTTGCTGAGTTTTAGAACACAATAGTAGTAATTTTTTATTTTTTTCATATTTTATCTTTGTTTTCAGTTTTTCTTCTATTTTGGCTTATAAAATTCCTAAGGAAGATGTTCAATCCCTTTCACAATCTTTTTTTAAGCTGGAAGAAGGTAAGTAGTATTTGAAAAACATTTATGTCATAGCTCTCAAATTATGAAAGCATTTTATTTAAAATGTTTAAAACTAGGGACTTAGTTTATTTTAGAAACTATGGCAGATAAAAAGATAACTTTTTTTATTTAATGTAAGACACAGGTAAACACTAATGTGGTAGGGATTTTGTTGATATACTCTATTGTAATATAAACCTTTTACAATATTTAGAGAGCATTGACACAGCTTTTCACGTTGCATCTATGAGAAAGGCCAGCTTAACTATCGAGTCTTTGCAGTTAGTCCAGTGGCAGGAGCTCTGAGTTTCTTGAATCCTTACTTCATACTGGTCCATAGAAGCAGCAACACTATCAAGACTCCAGTGACGAGGAGAAGTCTGAGTGTAGGAGAGTGGGCATTCCCCAAAGTTTTAAGGAAGCTTATAGAATCTTGGTATTATAAAAATAAGTGGCATGTAGGATAAATATAAATATATATGCTGGTGAAAGTTGAGGGAGATCACCTCTTGGAAGAATCAGGTGTTCATATGCAGATTATTTTATGGCATTGATAAACTGTGAAACAACCTATGTTTATGTATAAGGTTCATTAATTTCAAAATAAGTACAAAATTTTTATGATTGTTCTTTATGTGATTATTGAATACAAAAAGATTTCCTGATACTATATATATTCTTGTCATAGCTATGGATTAAGAACACTAATTATTTTTATGTCTGTAATATATGTATTCACATAGTCAGGTAAAGTTCTGCTTTCCTGATGATTTCTTTCCTTTTGTTTTTGAGATGGAGTCTTCCTCTTGTCACCTGACTGGAGTACAGTGGCACCATCTTGACTCACTACAACCTCTGCCTCCCGGGTTCAAGCGATTCTGCCTCCGCCTCCTGAGTAGCTCGGATTACAGGCGACTGCCACCACACCTGGCTAATTTTTGTATTTTCAGTAGAAATTGGGTTTCACCATGTTGGCCAGGCTGATCTCAAACTCCTGACCTCGTGATTCACCTGCCTTGGCCATCCAAAGTGCTGGGATTATAGGTATGAGCCACTGTGCCCGGCCTCCTGGTGATTTCTTTATGACCAAAGAGAACACCTGAACTACTTATGGAGAATTAAATTAAAGGAATGAATAGAACAACAGAAGTTTGGTATTACTTTATATTGCAAAGGAATCTGAAATAAATACAGAAAAGTTTATGGGCCGGGCATGATGGTTCACACCTATAATCTCAGCACTTTGGGAGGCTGAGGCGGGAGGATCCTGTAAGCTCAGGGTTCAAGATCAGCCTGAGCAACATAGTGAGACCCTGTTTATACAAAATAATTTTTAAAATTAGCCGAGTATGGTGGCTTGTGCCTTTAGTCCCAGCTACTCAGGAGGCTGAGGTGGAAGGATTGTTTGAGCCTGGGAGGTCAAGGCTGCAGTGAGCCATCATTGTGCCACTGTATACCAGCCTGGGCAACAAAGAAAGACCTTGTCTTAAAAAAAAAAAAAAAGAAAGAAAGAAAAGTTTATAGAAATAGGACCAATATCCAGAATCTAGTTCAAGAAGCAAGAATAGGCAACAGTGGAGTTGGAGAATGGGAGATAAGAGAGCAGGGATCAAAAGAAGGCAGGAAAAGAATCACTAGAAAAAAGATAATAGAGAAAAAGTGCAATAAGACAAGTAACATTAGACATAGTACTTAGGTCTATAGAGGAATTATAGGTATGGGGAAGAGAAAGGAAGTAAGAGAGAAAAATAGCATGTTGTGGCAGCTTCAAATTTAAGTGAGTTGATTACAGAGATTTTTTAAAACAGATTGTTAGCCACTTTAGTAGTCATAGCCATTTTTTCAAATATTGATAAGTAATATACTATTTTTATATTTTAATAGCTAAACATGCATTTGCCATTGAAGAATATAGCTTTTCTCAAGCAACATTAGAACAGGTACGATAAAGTTAATTTTTTTTTTATTGTACTTTAGATTCTGGGGTACATGTGCAGATCATGCAGGATTGTTGCATAGGTACATATATGGCAACGTGCTTTGTTGCCTCCATCACCCCGTCACCTATATCTGCCATTTCTCCCCATGTTATCCCTCCCCAACATCCCCATCCCCCTGCTGTGCCTCCCCTGCCCCCTGGCAGACCCCAGTGTGTGTTGCTCCCCTCCCTGTGTGCATGTGTTCTTGTTGTTCAACACCCACCTATGAGTGAGAACATGCAGTGTTTGATTTTCTGTTCTTGTGTCAGTTTGCTGAAAATGATGGTTTCCAGATTCATCCATGTCCCTACAAAGGAAACAAACTCATTGTTTTTTATGGCTGCATAGTATTCCATGGTGTATATGTGCCACATTTTCCTTTTTCAGTCTATCATCAATGGGCATTTGGGTTGGTTCCAGGCCTTTGCTATTGTAAACAATGCCACAATGAACATATGTGTGCATGTGTCTTTATAATAAAACGATTTATAATCCTTTGGGTATATACCCAGTAATGGGATTCCTGGGTCAAATAGAATTTCTATTTCTAGGTCCTTGAGGAATCGCCACACTGTCTTCCACAATGGTTGAACTAATTTACACTCCCATCAACAGTGTAAAAGCGTTCCTGTTTCTCCACATCCTCTCCAGCATCTGTTGTCTCCTGATTTTTTAATGATCACCATTCTAACTGGTGTGAGATGGTATCTCAGTGTGGTTTTGATTTGTATTTCTCTAATAACCAGTGATGATGAGCATTTTTTCATATATTTGTTGACCTCATGTATGTCTTCTTTTGAAAAGTGTCTGTTCATATCCTTTGCCCACTTTTGGATGGGTTCGTTTGTTTTTTTCTTGTAAATCTGTTTTAGTTCTTTGTAGATTCTGGATATTAGCCCTTTGTCAGATAGATAGATTGCAAAAATTTTTTCTCATTCTATTGGTTGCCGGTTCACACTAATGATTGCTTCTTTTGCTGTACAGAAGCTCTGGAGATTAATTAGATCCCATTTGTCTATTTTGGCTTTTGTTGCCAGTGCTTTTGGTGTTTTAGTCATGAAGTCCTTGCCTATGCCTTTGTCCTGAATGGTTTTGCCTAGGTTTTCTTCTAGGGTTTCTATGGTGTTAGGTCTCTTTTTTTTTATGTTTTTTTATTGCATTTTTGGTTTTGGGGTACATTTGAAGAGCATGCAAGATTGTTGCGTAGGTACACACATGGCAGCATGATTTGCTGCCTTCCTCTCCTTCAGCCATATCTGGCATTTCTCCCCATGCTATCTCTCCCCAACTCCCCGCCCCCCACTGTCCCTCCCCTATTCCCCCCGACAGACCCCAGTGTGTGATGCTCCCTTCCCTGTGTCCATGTGTTCTCATTGTTCAACACCCACCTATGGGTGAGAACATGTGGTGTTTGATTTTCTGTTCTTGTGTCAGTTTGCTGAGAATGATGGTTTCCAGGTTCATCCATGTCCCTACAAAGGACACAAACTCATCGTTTTTGATGGCTGCATAATATTCCATGGTGTATACGTGTCACATTTTCCCTGTCCAGTCATCATCGATGGGCATTTGGGTTGGTTCCAGGTCTTTGCTATTGTAAACAGTGCTGCAATAAACATTCATGTCCATGTGTCCTTATAGTAGAGCTATTTATAACCCTTTGGATATATACCCAGTAATGGGATTGCAGGGTCAAATGGAATTTCGATTTCTAGGTCCTTGAGGAATCGCCACACTGTCTTTCACAATGGTTGAACTAATTTGCACTCCCACCAACAGTGTAAAAGTGTTCCTGTTTCTCCACATCCTCTCCAGCATCTGTTGTCTCCAGATTTTTTAATGATCACCATTCTAACTGGCGTGAGATGATATCTCAATGTAGTTTTGATTTGCATTTCTCTAATGACCAATCAGTAATGAAGAGCATTTTTTCATGTTTGTTGGCCTCATGTATGTCTTCTTTTGAAAAGTGTCCGTTCATATCCTTCACCCACTTTGAATGGGCTTGTTGGTTTTTTTCTTGTAAATCTGTTTTAGTTCTTTGCAGATTCTGGATATTAGCCCTTTGTCAGATGGGTAGATTGCAAAAATTTTTTCCCATTCTGTTGGTTTCCAATTCACTCTAATGACTGTTTCTTTAGCCGTGCAGAAGCTGTGCAGTTTGATTAGGTCCCTTTTGTCTATTTTGGCTTTTGTTGCTAATGCTTTTGGTGTGTTGGTCATGAAGTCCTTGCCTACGCCTATGTCCTGAATGGTTTTGCCTAGATTTTCTTCTAGGGTTTTTATGGTGTTAGGTCTTATGTTGAAGTCTTTGATCTACCTGGAGTTAATTTTAGTGTAAGCTGTCAGGAAGGGGTCCAGTTTCTGCTTTCTGCACAGGGCTTGCCAGTTTCCCCAACACCATTTATTAAACAGGGAATCCTTTCCCCATTGCTGGTTTGTGTCCAGTTTGTCAAAGATCAGATGGTTGTAGATGTGTGGCATTGCCTCCAAGGCCTCTGTTCTGTTCCATTGGTCTATATCTCTGTTTTGGTACCAGTGTCATGCTGTTTTAATTACTGTAGGCTTGTAGTATAGTTTGAAGTCAGGTAGTGTGATGGCTCCGGCTTTGTTTTTTTTTGCTTAGGATTGTCTTGGCTATGTGGGCTCTTTTTTGGTTCCATATGAAGTTTAAGGTGGTGTTTTCCAGTTCTGTGAAGAAGGTCATTGGTAGCTTGATGGGGATAGCATTGAATCTATAAATTACTTTGGACAGTATGGCCATTTTCATGATATTGATTCTTCCTAACCATGAGCATGGAATGTTTCTTCATCTGTTTGAGTCCTCTCTTATTTCGTTGAGCAGTGGTTTGTAGTTCTCCTTGAAGAGGTCCTTTACATCCTTTGTTAGTTGTATTCCTAGGTATTTCATTCTCTTTGTAGCAATTGTGAATGAGAGTTCACTCATGATTTGGCTCTCTGTTAGTCTGTTATTGGAGTATAGGAATGCTTATGATTTCTGCACATTGATTTTGTATTCTGAGACTTTGCTGAAGTTGCTTATCAGTTTAAGGAGATTTTGGGCTGAGATGATAGGGTCTTCTAAATATACAATCATATCATCTACAAATAGAGACAATTTGACTTCCTCCTTTCCTAATTGAATACCCTTTATTTTTTTTTTTTTTCTTGCCTAATTGCTTGGCTAGAACTTTCAATACGTATTGAATAGGAATGGTGAGAGAGGGCATCCTTGTCTAGTGCCAGATTTCCAAGGGACTGCTTCCAGTTTTTGCCCATTCAGGATGATATTGGCTGTAGGTTTGTTATAAATAGCTTTTATTATTTTGAGATATGTTCCTTCGATACCTAGTTTATTGAGAATTTTTAGCATAAAGGGCTGTTGAATTTTGTCAAAGGCCTTCCCTGCATCTGTTGAGATAATCATGTGGTTTTTGTCTTTGGTTCTGTTTATGTGGTCAATTACGTTTATAGGCTTGTGTATGTTGAGCCAGGCTTGCGTCCCTAGGATGAAGCCTACTTGATTGTGATGGATAAGCTTATTGATATGCTGTTGTGATCAGTTTGCTAGTATTTTATTGAAGATTTTTGTGTCAATGTTCATCATGGATATTGGCCTGAAGTTTTCTTTTTTTGAGTCTATGCCAGGTTTTGGTATCAGGATGATGTTGTTCTCATAGTTTCAGAAAGAATGGTACCAACTCCTCTTTGTACGTCAGGTAGAATTTGGCTGTGAACCCGTCTAGACCTGGAATTTTTTTGGTTGGCAGGCTATTAATTGTGGCCTCAACTTCAGCCCTTGTTATTGGTCTGTTCAAAGTTTCATCTTCTTCCTGGTTTAGGCTAGGGAGAGTGCAAGCATCTAGGAATTTATCCATTTCTTCCAGGTTTACTGGTTTATGTGCATAGAGTTTTTCATAATAATCTCTGATGATAGTTTATATTTCTGTGAAATTGGTGGTGATTTCTCCTTTATCGTTTTTTATTGTATCTATTTCATCCTTCTCCCTTTTCTTTTTTATTAATCTGGCTAGCAGTCTGTCTATTTTGTTGATCTTTTCACAAAACCAGCTCCTGGATTTATTGATTTTTTGAAGGGTTTTTTTTGAGACAGAGTTTCGCTCTTGTTACCCAGGCTGGAGTGCAATGGCGCGATCTCGGCTCACTGTAACCTCTGCCTCCTGGGTTCAGGAATTTCTCCTGCCTCAGCCTCCTGAGTAGCTGGGATTACAGGCACACGCCACCATACCCAGCTGATTTTTTGCATTTTTAGTAGAGACGGGGTTTCACCATGTTGACCAGGATGGTCTTGATCTCTTGACCTCATGATCCACCCGCCTCGGCCTCCCAAAGTGCTGGGATTACAGGCGTGATGAAGGGGTTTTTTTGTGTCTCTGTCTCCTTCAGTTCTGCTCTGATCTTAGTTATTTCTTGTCTTCTGCTAGGTTTTGAGTTTTTTTTATCTTGCTTCTCTAGCTCTTTCAATTTTGATGATAGGGTGTCGATTATAGATCTTTTCTTGCTTCTCATGTGGGGGCATTTATTGCTTTAAGTTTTCCTCTAGACACTGCTTTAAATGTGTCCCAGAGATTCTGGTACATTGTGTCTTCATTCTCGTTGGTTTCAAAGAACATCTTTATTTCTACCTTCATTTCATTGTTTATCCAGTCTCTGTTCAGGAGCCAGTTGTTCAGTTTCCATGAAGTTGTGTGGTTCTGAGTTAGTTTCTTAATCCTGAGTTCTAATTTGATTGCCTTGCGGTCTGAAATACTGTGTGTTATGATTTCTGTTCTTTTGCATTTTCTGAGGAGTGATTTACTCCAATTATGTGGTCAATTTTGGAGTAGGTGCAATGTGGTGCTGAGAAGAATGTATATTCTATGGGTTTGGGGTGGAGATTACTGTAGATGTCTGTTAGGTCTGCTAGGTCCAGATCTGAGTTCAAGTCCTGGATATCCTTGTTAATTTTCTGTCTCGTTGATCTGTCTACTATTGACAGTGGAGTGTTAAAGTCTCTCACTATTATTGTGTGGGAGTTTAAGTCTCTTTGTAGGTCGTTAAGAACTTGCTTTATGTATTGGGGTGCTCCTGTATTGGGTGCATATATATTTAGGATTGTTAGCTCTTCTTGTTGCATTGATCCTTTTACCATTATGTAATGCCCTTCTTTGTCTCTTTTGATCTTTGTTATTTAAAGTCCATTTTATCAGAGACTAGGATTGCAACTCCTTTTTTTTTTTTTTTTTTTCTCTCCATTTTCTTGATAAATTTCCCTCCATCCCTTTATTTTGAGCCTATGTGTGTCCTTGCATGTGAAATTGGTTTACTGGATACAGCACACGGATAGGTCTTGACTCTTTATCCTATTTGCCAGTCTGTGTCTTTTGATTGGGGCATTTGGCCCATTTACATTTAAGTTTAATATTATTATGTGTGAATTTGATCCTGCCATTTTGATGCTAGCTGGATGTTTTACCTGTTAGTTGACACATTTTCTTCAGTGTGTCAATGGCCTTTACCATTTGGTATGTTTTTGGAGTGGCTGGTGCTGGTTGTTCCTTTCTATGTTTAGTGCCTTTTTCAGGAGCTCTTGTAAGGCAGACCTGGTGGTTATGAAATCTCTCAGCAATTGCTTGTCTGTAAAGATTTTATTTCTCCTTCACTTATGAAGCTTAGTTTGGCTGGATATGAAATTCTAGGTTGAAAGTTCTTTTCTTTAAGGATGTTGAATATTGGCCCTCACTGTCTTCTGGCTTGTAGGGTTTCTGCTGAGATATCCGCTGTGAGTCTGATGGGCTTCCCTTTGTGGGTAACCCAAGCTTTCTCTCTAGCTGCCCTTAGCATTTTTTCCTTCATTTCAACCCTGGTGAATCTGACGATTATGTGCCTTGGGGTTGCTAGGTTGAGGATGTTTTCCTGGATAACATCCTAAGAGTGTTTTCCAGCTTGTATTCATTCTCTCTGTCACATTCAGGTACAGCTATCAAACTTAGATTAGGTATTTGCACATAATCCCATATTTCTTGGAAGCTTTGTTCATTTCTTTCCCTCTTTTTTCTCTAATCTTGCCTTCTCATTTTATTTCATTGAGTTGATCTTCAGTCTCTGATATCCTTTCTTCTGCTTGGTCGATTTGGCTATTGAAACTTGTGTATGCTTCACGAAGTTCTCGTGCTGTGTTTTTCAGCTCCATCAAGTCATTTATATTGTTCTCTAAGCTGTTTATTCTAGTTAGCATTTCATGTAACCTTTTCAAGGTTCTTAGTTTCTTTGCATTGGGTTAGCATGTCTTTTAGCTCTGAGAAGCTTATTACCCACCTTCTGAAGCCTGTTTCTGTCAATTCATCAGATTCATTCTCCATCCAACTTTGTTCCCTAGCTGGTGAAGAGTTGTGAACTCTTGGAGGAGGAGAGGAGTTCTAGTTTTTGGTGTTTTCATCCTTTTTGTGCTGGTTTCTTCTCATCTTTGTGGCTTTATCTCCCTGTGGTCTTTGTAGTTGGTGACTTTCGGATGAGGTCTCTGAGTGGACATCTTTTTTGTTGATGTTGAAGCTGTTTTTTTTCTGTTTCTTAGTTTTCCTTCTAACAGTCAGGCCCCTCTGCTACAGGATTGCTGGAGGTCCACTCCAGACCCTGCTTGCCTGGGAATCCCCGCGGGGGCTGCAGAACAGTAAAGGTTGCTGCAGAACAGTAAAGGTTGCTGCCAGTTTCTTCTTCTGTTATCTTTGTCCCAGAAGGGTACCACCAGATATTGGCCTGAGCTCTCCTTTATGAGGTGTCTCTTTGGGGTATATAGGGGTCGGGGAGCTGCTTAAAGAGACAGTCTGTCCCATATAGGAGCTCAAGTGCTGTGCTGGGAGCTCAGTTGTTCCATGCAGAGCTGCTGGGCAGGTACGTTTAAGTCTGTTGCAGTGGAACTCATAACTGCCTCTTTTCCCAGGTGCTCTGTCCTAAGAAGGTCAGGCTTTATTTATAAGTTCCTGATGTGCTGCTGTCTTTTTTTTACAGATGCTCTGCCCCGCACTGAGATAGTTTCACAGTCTGCCAGCAGAGGCATTGCTGAGGTGCCATGGGCTCTGCCCAGCTGCTGTGTAAACTTCCTTGAGGCAGTTAGAACTACCTCGGTATTGGTGGACTGCCTCGGTAGTGGCAGATGCCCTTCCCTCCACTGAGCTGAACTGTCACGGGTCCAGCTCCACTTGCTGCAAAACTCTCAATCCAGAGTGTTTCAGATTGCTAATTTTGTGGGGGGTGATACCTGCCAAGCCAGATCACCTGGCTCCCTATCTCAGCCCCCTCCCTTTCAGTTGAATGGGCGGCTCTGTCTCCCAGGTGTTCCAGGCGCCAGTTGAAACAGCTGCCCAGATTTGTGTGAGTTTCTTTGCACCAACCTGCAGCACCGGCTGAAGCAGCTCTGCTGGAAACTCGTGGCACTTTTCGGCCCAGGAATCTCCTGATCTGTAGGCAGTGAAAACTTGTTTGGAAATGCAGTGATCACTCACTCTCTGCATTGTTCTTTCTGGGAACTGCACTCCAGAGCTGTTTCTATTCAGCCATCTTGGATCCTCCCCACTAAAGCTAAATTTTTAAAAATTATTTTATAGAAGAAAGTATCTGATATCAATTGTTTTGGTTTGTATTAGAGAGGGAGAGATATTGTAAACCAGTGACAAAATGTTACAGAATAATCTTAAACTTTGTATAATTTTAATCAACCTTAGGTTCTTCACTTACTAATTTTTTAAATTTTATTTTTAAATTTGATCTTATTTTAAATTGACAAATCACACTGTCTATAGGGTGGAGCGTGATGTATTGAGATGTGTACAATATGGAATTATTAAATCAAGCTTTCATTTGCTTATTTTGAATATCTCAGATTTTTTCATTTTGTAAAGAATGTGAGTCATGATGGTAGTATTTCATATTAGTGTATTTGAAATTACATTGTTTAAGTAGTTATGAATTATTTTTTGAAAACAAATATATTAATCTTCTAGAATAATATTCATTTTTGCATGTAATTTTTGGAAATAATTTACTCTGAATAATATTAATGTTAAGAAATCTCTTGATACTTATTAATATAACTAGATATAGCCTTTATACCATTTTTGATTTAGTTAAAAGTTCTTTGAGATACTTGAGATACAGAATACTGTATTCATTTATTTCTTTTCACCTAGGTTTTTGTAGAACTCACTAAAGAACAAGAGGAGGAAGATAATAGCTGTGGAACTTTAAACAGCACACTTTGGTGGGAACGAACACAAGAAGACAGAGTAGTATTTTGAATTTGAATTGTTCAGTCTGCTTAATGGACTTACTTCTTCTTCACTTAATTTTAGCTTTGGTTTAAAAAGCTCACTGTTGGAATGGTAACTGGAGGACCATGAAAGCTCTTGAAGTTTTTCTAAGCTCCTTAATTGAAATGCTGTGGTTGTGTGTTTTGCTTTTCGTTAAATAAAATTTATGTAATAATTAAGTGAACCTGCATGTTTGTATTGAAATATATTGAACTATAAGTTTGTATGTCATCTTTTCCACCTTTCAAAAACAGTGCGTTTGAATTTATGATTTAACAGAGTAGTGATAGAGTAATTTTGAAGTTATCTATAAGTTTATGTCATCTTCTTAAATAAGTATGTAATATTCCAATCTAAATAAAAAACCAATTCATAACTAGTACATAGAAAAGATACATAAAGCAATGTGAAAGTTTCTTGCTTCTCCTTTTCAATTGCTAAAAAAAGCACTTTGAATGGAAGTTGTCATCCATAAAAGCCGAAGTGTAAGCACTAGGAAATCTCAATATAGAGGCTTGAGGAAAGTGATATCCGCTAGGTGGCAGTCATTGATCATAATAAGTGAAATGAGACCTTGTTCTATTAGATAATTTTAGACATAGGTAATTAAGTGTTTGAAATTACATTTCTTTTATTTAAAGTAAAAATTCAAAAGTGTTTTAGTTATTATAATTAAAGGAAGACTGTGTATAGAATCTTATGTAATAGTCTGATTCTTTTGACTCTGGCTAGAATGACAGATATCTATAAAGGTGGAAGAATTAAGCTATACCTTTTCCTCCACCACTCTTGGAACATATAAATTTTTTGTCATCCTCCTTGTATAATTGAGTTGAGTAGTCACAATCATGTTATTTTACTCATTCAGTTACTTTGCTTTTAATGTATGTGAACACATCCTCTTGTAAACAATTTTAAAAGACTCAATTTTTTTAGTTTTTATATACTCAGAATATATTTTGGTTATTAAATTAAATTATGTTCCCTTTCTCACAGTAACAAAATCTGACTCAGGAGAAATATAACTTAATTCTTAGGAAAGCAAGAGTAAGTGATCTAGAAAGCAAAGGAGAAAAAACATCAAATATGTTATTAATTTACAGTATACAGTTCATGTTTCTGAACATATTAATTTTAAAATGTCTTAAATTACTGATCTTAAAACTTCCTTCTATATCAATATAGATAAATACATAAATATATATATTAGACGAAAGCAACAATGCCAACCTTGTGTTTCCCATCAATGGTCAAATTTTAAAAGGAGAGTAAAAGCTGAGTTTACTGAGTGACTCTGTTTACTGACTATTAAGGCAAGAAAAAAAAACATGATGAGTGTACTTTACAGTTTACTTTTGTGGGCTTTTAATTTTTTTTTCCAGTTTGTTCTCAGTAAAGACTGGATTTTCTTTAAAATAATTTTTTCTTTTAAATTAGCACAAATTATCTTAGGTTTGTTCTTAGTAAAGATTGTGGGTTGTCTTTGAAATGATTTTTTCTTTTAAATTGGCACAAATTATCTTAGGTCAACATTTTGGTTTTAATCATTAAAACATTTTTAGAGTAATGTAATTCAACAAATATTTTAGTGATTATGTTTACAGAAATGAATTCTTTAGAGACAAGGATGACTATCAGTTTGGGCCCTGTAAGATCTTACAGATCTATAAGATAGATACTTATATAACTTATATAAAAATATATATATTACTCATGTAACTTACATAACTAGCTATTATTTTTATATAACTAGCTGTATATATGACAAATGCTTTGCTAGTAGTATTAACAATGCTTTATAGGAGCACAATTAATTCTACTTAGGATAAGTGGTTTTATTATTGTTTATATTGTTGTTCCATTGGTCACTAAAATTTCATTCTAATTGTGCTCTGAGTTTTTAAAAATACCATACTGTATTTTTGCGTAACATGTAAATGGGCATTAATTTTTAAGAAATAGAAATGTTTATCCTTAATGTATTTTTAATTTACTAACATTGATTTTTTTATTTTCTTTCCTGAAATAGCATGTTACCTAAAATGAAAGAATTTATTCTCAGATGAATAATTTTTATATCAGCTATTCTTATAAGGTAAAAGTTTAATTATTTTTTATTTGTAATGTATTATATGTAAGCAATTCTCAATGCTGCTCTTTAAGAAAAATAAATATGCTTATATTAATAATAAGCTTTAAGAACTGAAAATTTAAGACAAGTAATTTTGTATACTAAAGTGATTTCTTTATTTAATGCTGATAATTGAATAATGAGTAGCTCATATTAAAAATGATGCAGAAACCTGGCACTAAAATTGTTAGTATTTTTTTTTTTTTTAAGTATCTGAGGGTAGTTTTCAGTTGCGGAAGGAACATTGACAATTACTTTATGTTTTAATTTACATTCACATTTTAAACACAAACTAGGTATGTTTATAGATCTTTTTGTCTTGAATATATTTTGTTTGTAAATATAAGGCAATCACTTTAACTTATACATTATTAAATATAACAGGTTAAATTATTCTCAAATATTTAATACTAAAATATTTATCATTTCCTTAGAATTTTTGAGTAAGTTGATTCATACACACACTTAGGCAGTATTTTAAATGTAATGAACAGATTCTTCTGAAGTGCCTAGCAATTCTTGCAAATCAAATTTACCTTTTTAATTTAAGAAAATAAAGTTCTCAAGAATTTCAGGCATCATTTTGTGTTGCTTTCGTTTTTGTGATAGGGTCTCACTCTGCTGCCTAGGCTGGAGTGCAGTGGCACAATCCTGGCTCACCGCAGTCCCAACCTCTCAGGCTCAGGTGATCCTCCCACCTCAACCTCTTGAGTAGCTGGGACAACAGGTGTGTGCCACTGCACTCAGCTAATTTTTGTATTTTTTTGTAGAGGTGGGATTTTGCCATGTTCCCCAGGCTGGTCTTAAATTCCTGGGTTCAAGGGATGCCCCCACCTTGGCATCCCAAAATGTTGGAAATACAGGTGTGAACCACCTTACCTGGACTTCAAACATCTTAAAAATAGGCAACATACACAAAACTTCCTGGTTATAAGGCTTGCAACCACACTTGCATAAATATAGTAATGTGTTGCATAACAACATTTTAGTCAAGAATGGACCACATAGTAAGATTATAAAATAAAATACTGTATTTTTCTTGTGCCTTTTCTATGTTAGATACACAAATAATTACTATTGTGTGTTAGAGTTGCTTACAGTGTTAAGTATAGCAGCATGCTGTCCAGGTTTGTAGCCTAGGACCAACAGGCTATATCATATAGCCTGGATGTGTAGTAGGTTATACCTGAAGTAATTTTTTTTACCATGTGTACATATATACCTTTGCAGAGTTACACATTTGCCAATAAAACAGCTATCTCTCACTGTCAAAATGTATCCCTTTGCTAACTTTAGACCGAGAGATGGATGCTAATTAGGTTCCCCGGTTAATGCTTGGGACTAATCAAGGACTATCTATAAACCAAACTAAATAATGATATAAGGATAGACCCTGGAACTGCCTTCTAAGATTAAGCTGGCAGCTGTTGAGGTGGAGGTTCTTTTATGTTAAAACTTTGGTTTTTGAGCTTTAAGTTGTGAGTTAACTCAAATTAAGTTTCAGGTTTTTGCAACCCAGTATTTTCCCCTAAAACAAGATGTCATTTAGGCTTTATTATTACGTTTCATCCAAATTCATGATAATAGGACTTTCCAAGTTTCTATGTTGTGACTATGGTATAACCTGCTTAATTAATGAAAATGAATTTCTCAGACCGGGCGCAGTGACCCACACCTGTAATCCTAGCACTTTGGGAGGCCTAGGTCAGTGGATCATTGATATCAGGAATTCGAGACCAGTCTGGCCAACAATGGTGAAACCCTGTCTCTACTAAGAATACAAAATTAGCTGGGCATGGTGGCACTTGCCTGTAATCCAAGTTAGTTGGGAGGCTGAGGCAGGAGGATTGCTTGAACCCAGGAGGCAGAGGTTGCAGTGAGCCAAGATTGTGCCACTGCTGCACTCCAAACTGGTGACAGAGTAAGACTCTGTCCCAAGGAAAAAAAAAAAAGGAAGAAAAAAAAATGAATTCCTTACCTGGGTTGAAATTTTACTTTCTTTTCTGTTTTGTAATTCTTATATGTCTCATTAACTGTAATAATATGGTCATTTTACTGACAGAATAATACCATTATTGTTTTGGTTCACCTTATCTAATTTTCATTTGTTAATACATCTTTGTCATATAGTTGTGGGAAATGAGTGCTAGTTGAGATATATATGTATTGGCTAGTAATTTTTTTGGCCAAATTATACTGTTGGTATTGTTATGTGATTATTATGTGTTGATATTTGTTTTCTGTTGACTACATTTACATACTCACACATCGGTGTACATGAAATCAAATTTGTAATAGAATAAGATTAAAATTATACATCAAGCTTTACAAATCAGTAAGAAATCTCAACTTCTAGTGTTATCATATCTGCTAATTTTAAAAGACCTTATCTCTATCTTTTAATTCTTTAGGAAGTATGCAGCCTTGAATTTACCTTCACCAAATTAAGATACTAGATAGTTTTTGAGAGCTATCTATGATAGTGCCTAAAGTCTTTTTTTTTTTTAATTTCAAAGAAATTTTTAATAGGCTGAGGCTAATATATTCAAGAGTATAAACACATTTCCTTTGGATTACCTAAAATCAAACTTTTAAAGTATCATATTTCAGTTGGCTAAAAATATAGCCAGATAGTGCCTAAAGGCTTTAAGTTTCAAAGAAAGACTGCTTTTTATTATTATTCAGTATTCACAGATATTTATTGTATGTCCATTAAGAATCAAGCACTTTTCTAAGCACTAGGGATATACATTATTGAAACAATAGGCAAAAATATCTGTCCTCACTGAGTTTTTATTATAGTAAGACAAAGTATCTGCTTTAAAAAATATATAATGTATTAGATGATGGGGAGGGAGATAAGGACTCTTGGAGTGGGTGCCGCAGATGAAAGCACACTGATCTCATGTAGGTGAGACTACACTGAGAAGATGAGTTGGTAAGTACAAAAGCCCTGAGGCAAGGTGCCAGTGGCATATTTGAGAGAGAAACAGGACCAGTGAAGCTTTAGCTAACTGATTAAGGGGGACACTAGTAGAAGATGGGATCAGAGAGACTCCAAACCCTAACCTTAACCCTAACCCTAGTGTATTAGCAAACTAATACAAGCCCCATTCCAGGATCTGCTCCTAACTTCCTTCCTAATGGCCCTCATGAACATTTTATGGACCTTCAGTTAGATCAGAAGTCATTCGAGGGTTTTAGGCAGAGGTATGACACTATTAGCCATATTTGAAAGGAACAGCTTAGCTGCTGTGTTGAAAATAAATCAGATATGAGAGGGCAGAGTACAAAAGACCTGTTAGGAGGCCATTGCAGCATTTGATTAGGCAAGAGATGATGAGTTGAATCAGGAAGGTGATAAGAAATGGTCTAATTCTGAATACTGTGAAGGTAGAGATTATAGTACATGGTGTATGGGAGAAAGAGAGTCAATGACACCAGGGTTTTGTTTTGTCTTATTTTGTTTTGTTTTTGAGATGGAGTCTCACTCTGTCACTCAGGCTGGAGTGCAATGGCATGGTCTTGGCTAACTGCAACCTTTGCCTCCCTTGTTCAAGTGATTCTATTGCCACAGCCTCCCAAGTAACTGGGGCTACAGGTGCCTGCCTCCATGCCCGGCTAATTTTTGTATTTTTAGTAGAGACGGGGTTTTACCATGTTGGCCAGGCTTGTCTTGAATTCCTGACCTTGTGATCCACCCACTCTGGCCTCCCAAAGTGCTGGGATTACAGGCGTGAGCCACTATACCTGGCCTGGGTCTTTGTTTTGTCTGAGCTTCTGGAGAAGTAGAATTATCAGCAATTATTTTGTCTCTGAACCTATCTTCTATTAGTATCACCAAGTGAATGAAGAAGACCATGGAAATTCAAGTTTGAGGATTTGAGGAAAAGATCAATTTTTGACTTGTTAAGTTTGAGATGATCCTTAGACATCCAAGTGGAGATGTCCAGTAAGCAAAAGAAATAAATATTGGGAGCAGTGTTAGTTTTGGAGTCCACTTACAAGCTGAGAGTCAAGGAGTATTGAGTGGTAGAGCAAGAAGTACAGCAAGGTCCTAGCTGTGGTGAAACATAGGTAATGTTAACTAAGGCACACTACCAGAAGGCAAGGGTCTTACCCAGTATAAGGAAATTCTAAGAACAGATCTGAGAACCAATGGCCCAAATATTAGCTACTGAAGATCTGAAAAGAAGGAAATTGTAAAGCGAAATCAAGTTTGTCATTTATTTCTTGGGAAAGCACTGCTGGGAAACAGGAAGACAACTTTGGAAGGGAACTCATCCCTTGGAGGCTTGATGATGTAGAGAATCAGGCAGCTGAAGAGTTCTACAGAAACAAGTTAGTATCACAGTCAGAAGACAGACCAGCAAAATCTCCCTACATTGTACTATTTACTAAAGAAATTGCATTTCACTGTACTAACAGAAGAGTGCTTTAGTTTGAAAACTAGGTTAGCCACTCCAAACCCTCCACTTCCTCTATTACAGGTCCATAGAATATCCCATTGTTCCAGGTTCCCATGGATGCTAAAATGAACTGTCTGTATTCCCCTTCAGAAATAAAAAACTTGCTTCTCCAGCCTCTGAGAGTGCTACCATAAAATAGCTTGCAGGGCAGCCTTAGCAAACTAATACAGGCCCCATTCCAGGATTTGCTTCTAACTTCCTTTCTAGTGGCCAATAACAAGAGTTAAGACATGAAATAACTTGGCCAAAGTTGTGCTGGTGTTGCTGAAGGAAGAAATGTACTGTACCACACAAGAGCTGCAGGAGCTAGCCACATCTACCCATAAAAGCTAGGAAAATATACATGGGACTGGATTCTAAGGGTGCATGATCAAATGGTGCAGAACATAAAGTTAGATAAGAGTTTATTCAGAGTACTCTTCTGGCCTGAAGGATTTTTAATATCCTGGCAAGAATCCCAAGAGATGGTTCTTAGCAAGAACACACGGCTAAGATATTCTTGGAAACATGGAAAAAGCAATGGCCAATCCAGTGGCATGTATAAATATTTAAAAGCCATGGTACATGATGCAAAAAAGGGTTAAAACATCCAGAAAATCAGGCATCCTGTGTGGATGTACTATATGAGTTTGGAAAACACAGTAGGTGACTAAATTCAGAACAAGGAACATACTATTGAAGGGCACACCAACATCACTATACAGTTAGTGGTGGCTGTTCTATGAGTTGATGGCAAGTGATACCATTATAACACTGGGCTCAGAGAGAGCAATGGAGATGATAAAATCCTGAATAATAGAGGCCAGATGGCAGCATTTAACAATTAGACCCCTCAGAAACCATGTGGACACAATTACTGTAATAAATATTGAGAACTGCAGAACTCTCAACACATAACAACTCTGTCAAAAGCCCTCCACTGAGAGACTTGACCAAATTTTAGCATTTCCTCTAGCAGCATAAAGTGTCCCTTGGGTGAGCGCAGGTCCCTATCCCCAATAAAAAGCCTGCCTGAGAACGCTCAGTACTACCAGTAAAACCTACTTTTTGTTGTAGCTAACACATGATAATAGGCCCTGATCTTCTTTCTTAGAACATTTATTTATTAA